GTTGAATTCCCCTGTTGTGCACCTCGTAGGGAATACCTTTTTGGGTGCGGAGACATTGAGCTGTAGCTTTCAATGCTAACGTTTGCCCCAAACTTCCAAATAGTTTTGACTCAGGGAATCTGAGATATGAACAAATGGGTCAGTTTGGATTCTTAATATAATTCGATGGTGCCCCAAACTTCCACATGGTTTTGAATACGGAATGGACTTCAAAATGGCACCCAAGATATGTTGCGCCCCATCTCAGCCAACCTCCTCCTGCGTTTGGGGAGGAAGCGCCCGCATCATTTGCACCTGCGTTTGTCGGGGTGCTGGATGACATTCTCAGCAGGTGATCCCGGGGGTTGTTGTACCAAACTTTTGAGTCGGTACTTGGTGGCTCATCCCATGTATCGTAAGTGGTTAATAAGGTGATGGCAAGTCCTCATTCTGCGGGTTATCATACATAAATGGTGTATAACCATGGTTACTAACGTGTTACTAAGTGGGATGATCCTCCAAATACTATGTCACTGCAAAGATGTGGGAAATGAAAAAGCTCCCTCCCTGATGCAGGTGCCAAAAGCGTACAGTTTCTGATAGGTTTCAATTTCCTTAACACCAACGCATAAAGATCAACAGTCTTGTTTGATTGTTTGGGTGTGCTTCTTTTTTCACATTCATTTTTTCTGCGAGCCCTATATTTGAAGCTGCTCCTGAGGGGGACATGCGAAACATACTGACACCATCTTAAACTATATTTTTTTGTGGTTTATCCTACGACTAGTCTCTTGACACCTTTCCAGCAGCGCCTGCGGCTCGTAGGGCGGCGGCATCGGCGGGGGTCCCCGCGGCCGCCGTGCCGCCAGGGCGTAGAACCGCCGGGAACGAGGCCCGGCGCGGGGCCATGGCAAGCGGAGCATGGTGGGCCATGAGCGTGATGCAAAGCGATGAAAAGGTTGGGGGGTAGAAACTTTGGGGACATTTCACATCATTTCACCATGTTTATTGAAGTACAACCATCTCATGGGGATTCATGAGTACATAGGGAGACAACAAGGTGATTTTGCAACTCAAATGAGTGTTTCCTGCAAAGCTCACAAGACTTCAAACTGAGCACATGGCGTTGTCTAAGAATCCTGTGACCTTGAAAAATCCTTTGATGAATCATGATCTTAGACCCTATTAAAATGTCATAAATTGGAGTAAATGGCCAATTTTCAGACAGGCCAATGAGATGCAGTCCGTACATGCATCACATGTACAGGAGCAATAAGACTATGGGTTTGCTGTTTGTTTCTGCTTCAAACGCCCATAATAGTAGGCACGTGTCACTTGAATAGCGCGATGCCGAACCAACAAACATATAACTCACAGTCATTACTCAGCTGGATCTAGAACCTGACCCTGAAGCCAATGCTGCCAAAAACCCAGATTTGAATGTCCCCGACCATCGCTTTCTGAATCAAAATATGCATTAAATTGGGCTATTTTGGTATCCCCCGAGACAAACACTAAATTTTCCATTTGGAGACCATGAAACCTGAAGAGATGACATCCAGAAACCCCTTCTGTTGCTGGACAAGCAAATGGAGTTGTCTCAAAATGGACAAGCAAATAGCCATCAAACATCATAGTAGCTCTTCTTGGTCGAGTTTTGGAAGCTGGTTTGGAGTCTCCATTTTTGAAGAACAACCCCATACATCTCAAAACTGTGGATACCCAATAGGTAAAAAAAATGGAAACTGATGAATCAACAACAGCAGTCTTGTTTGAGACGCCCGAACATTGACGAAATCTGATGCTTTGCCCACGCGAACTTATATTCCATGGCCGTACTTTCCACTTTGAAAAACAAACACCTTCCTGAACAGTGAACAAATGCAATCAAATGGCAAAGGCACCCGAAGGTTCAACATCTGTCTTCATCCTTTTGGGTATGGGTCAACTTCGGTATACGCTACATAAAAAATCGGAGCGGATGATCTTCGACATTCTCAACCGTTTTGAAAGATTGGGGCCCTAGTCATTGCAGTCTACCAGATTTCCTGATTGGTTGATGATAAATGTTACCATATAATTATAGCATATGGATGCATATGGATGTTAAACCAATGATTTTCTGATTGCTTTGACCATCTCTGGCAGTTTCAACCCCCAAAAAGATTGGGATTCAGTGGATCCCAGATCTCAGAAAACAGCGAAGTACGAACCGATGGCGCCTCCATGGGGTTGTCCGTACGAACCACGTAGCGCTTGGTGGCACCAGAATGGGCCTGGGCACGGCAGTTGCGCTCGACACAGGGGGGCCAAGGGGGCCACCAAAAAGTGTCCCAAAAAACGCCGCGCACACTGCATCATTTGATGCTGCTCAAAAAAAGATGTTGCTATGGTAGATGTTGCTACACTTTTCAATTCGTGATTCGTTTTGGTGGGGTATCACCCCTCGTAGCCCTTGAGATCCGAAGCACGGATGGCATCCTAGGTGGATGATTTGAAAGTCTTTGGGACACCCATTGAAGAAAAAACGCCATGGCTTGGTTGAAACATGCTGAAACCTCAATTTTGTAGCTTGCAATAGGTGAAGTACACAACTGGTTGGTGGTTTCACTCCCTCTGAAAAATATGAAAGTCAGTTGGGATCATTATTCCCAATATGTGTGTGTATATATATATATGTAACAATAAAAGCTATGTTCCAAACCACCAAACAAACAATATCGTTCCAAATTTCAATGGAGGAGTTCCATGAAATCTGCAGGTCGGCTGCTGGAGATGAGTACCAAACTGCCATGGTTGGCAGAGCCCTTGAATTGCGAGCTGGATCATGATGACCAATGACGAACATGAAACAACCACTCCCAATTTTGCAATGTACATCTGGCTGTTCCCTGAAATAGGGGGTATCAAATCATCCAAGTCATGGATGACCATTTGAGTATTGACACCTATGGTGACTTGGGGTACCCCCATTTTAGGATACCGCCAGTCCCTCGCTATGTTTTTCATTCAAACCAAGGCTCTCCTGCAAGTACTGTCACAATTTCCAACATCCGATGTACATCATTTAAGTTGCTCAAAACGCGTCAAAATCCATGTTGTTTTTGCTTCGCAAGCCAAAGATTCGACTGCTCAAAACAGAGTCTGCTCCAAGATGCACTACTCTTGTAGTTCACCACTGAACGTGCGTCCTTTCCTGGGCGTAGGATGCTGGGAAGAAGCAGGAGGGCTGTCTCATGGTGTCTGTCTCCCTGTATGTACATATATATATATATACTGCATACATGAAACAAAAAAGATAGGTAAACAGAAATCACCTGTATTATAAATATGTAAATATATATATATATATATCTTTATTTATTGATTTATTTATATGCATGTATGGGGAATTTTCTTAAAATGGGGGATCCCCAAGTCATCCATGACAAAACAATTCCACGGTTCCGTATCGGATTTCCCCAGGGTTTCAATACTAACCCTGTAAGCATTTTGGGGGCTACCCCCACTTTAGGAAACACCAATTGCTTACTGGTTGGTGGTTGACCTACCCCTCTGAAAAATGATGGACTTCGTCAGTTGGGATGATGATTCTTCCCAACTGAATGGAAAGTCATAATCCAGACATGTTCCAGTCACCACCTTGGTTAGAAATGTTGAAGACATGGTTAGAAAGCTGGCTTCCAAGCTGCCTCCACTACGCTTGCTATGTCTTGGCTGGACTCTTGGAGGCTTACGACGTAAACCCCACGAACTCTCTCCGTCCGATAAAACGTGCCTTGCTGGAAAATTCACCCGTTTATGGATGAATTTGATTATTAACACCTCCAATTAGTTCATTGATGGTCCATTCTTGTGGTTTTTGATCTCCATGTTGATTGTTGGTGTAAGACCTATATTTCTATCACCATGATTTGTTGAACATATGCCAATTTTACGGGCAACATATTTCCACTAGATACCACCTAAATGGACCAAGAACATATGGATACGCAATGAAGAAAGAGAAAGCTCTTTTGTCAATTCCACCGCCTTAGTATGACTTAAGATACTTAAGATCCCAACGTGACATTGATTTCATCACCTTGTTTGGTGATAGTATCACAACTTCTATGGTTTAAGTACCGCCTAAATTAGCCGTTTGTCTATTATGTGCATCTTGAGTAAGTTTTGTCAATAAAAACCATCGACGAATTGCCAACTTGCTGGCAAATCATGTGTTTTTCCAGGTGACTTCTCCATTTCTACTGCTCCAGGCACCATGTTTTGCCACTGACATCACCATTCTGCTGCTCTAAACTTATGAAAAGTCGCCAAAAACTACTATGTTCAAGGGTTTTACCACCCATCACCTTTCATTGGTCCCTTCTGTTCGGGGCTCCTGGAGGTCATTGTTCTTCCATTTTAAGTCACAACGCGAGAAATACTTGGTGGCTCATCTCACTAAGTGGGTTGTATCCATGGTAAAAAGTGGGATAAGTAAGGTTCATATCCCACTTATCCCAATTTTACCCGCTCTCATCTCACTAAGTGGGATAAACGGCAAGTTAATCCACTTATAACTAGGGTTAGGTTACTTGCGATTCGTGGGGTGGAGCACCAAGTCAACATCACCATTTTTCCGTTTCATTTTTATCTCTCCCCTAAGACGCCGGGCGCGGATGCCATGGAGATCGACCAGACGTCATCCACTCCTTCACCTCAGTAACTCCTGGCGGACACACCGCGGGTTGTGGAAAACCAGACGCGTCTGGACATAAACCTCCGGTTTTTGATGGAATTTACCCTCTGGTAATTTGTTACATAGCTATTGAAAATGGTCCATTTATAGTGGATTTACCAATTGAAAATGGTGATTTTCCATAGTTATGTAAACGTTTGTTTACCAGAGGGTAATGATTTAATGGCTGGTTGGCGGCGTACCTACCCCTCTGAAAAATATGAATTCGTCAATGGGAAGGATGACATCCCATATATTATGGAAAAATAAAAAATGTTCCAAACCACCAACCAGGGATTCAATGGGGATTTACACTCGGTAAAGCTAACATAGAAGTAGGGGTTGCCTAGCAATCCCAAACGAGATGTTTAGGTATCTTCGTCTGCCAGGATGCAATGGGATTTAATGGGATTTCATGGGGATTCAATGGGGGTTTCAAAGGACTTAATGGGATGTACTGGGATGTATAACGCCAACAATAGGTATAGTATTGGGGATACCCTCAGGTAATGAATGGTGAAACCTGATAAGGACCTACTATTTGGATATAGGGCACGATGGCCATTTGGAGTCAGTACGGGAATGTATTTATGTAAACAATTCTACGGCAAATGTCTGGGCTTTGCCCGGAACCGCAAACAAGACCGGTAACGCATCATCATCATCATCATCATCATCATCATCAAACCCTTTTTGAAGATCTTACATGAATGTAGAAGTTTAACGGGGGTGGGAGAATTAAACCTTTATCGAAGATCTTCAATGAATGTAAAAAGTTTAAAGGGGGTGGGAGGATTACACCCCTATCGAAGATCTTCATTAAATGTAGAAATTTAACGGGGGCGGAAGAATTAAACCCTTATCGAAGATCTTCAATGAATGTAGAAGTTTAACGGGGGTGGGAGAATTGAACCCTTACTGAAGATCTTCATTAAATGTGGAAGATTAACGGGGGTGGGAGAATTAAACCCTTACTGAAGATCTTCAGTGAATGTAGAAGTTTAACTGGGGTGGGAGAATTAAACCCGTATTGAAGATCTTCAGTGAATGTAGAAGTTTAACGGGGATGGGAGAATTAAACTCTTATTGAAGATCTTCAACGAATGTAGAAAATCTATGTTCATGCTCCAGGGTTGTTTCGTGCAAAGGGTTGCTTCACATTTGTGTTCCTTTTGGCGTATCTTTTTTGGCAACAAATTTTCCTTTCAAACCATTTTTTTTTGGATGTAGCCATTACTTTTTACTTTCTTCAAATCTTTCAGGCAGGGGGCGTGATGACAAAAAAAATCAATCTATAGTGAACCTACAGATACCAATCCCATTCTCAGCATGAAGTGTTTGAATAGATCTGGCTCTTGGAATTCAAATCTTAAAGTATGGAATTCATGTACTAGGCTATTTCCCTGTGTTTGGGGTTGGCCGTCAAACCACTTGAATTATATTGCGGATACTTTGCTGACGCCTTGTGATGAGTTAAATGACTTTTAAGAAATATAGTGGCGGTGCTGAAAGGTATACCATGTCTAAGAAAAGCAGGTGAGATTGGCATCACCTTGGCCGAGCAGAGTCTGGACCGCCACTTGCAGAGAAAGCAAATTCCATCCATGCGCAAGCGCTTGAGCCGCTGTACAAGCGGGCGTTGGATGGAATTTGGTTTACCAATGGGGGAAGTGTTGAAAGAGACACCCAGTAGATTTGAAAATCACAACCCTTTTGGAAAAGGGATGATCACTGGAAAGGCGACCGGGCGTTGAACAAGCGCCAGTGATTTTCAAAGCTACTGCCCACTGAAAAAGTTGGGAAGTCCGCAGCTAAACATTCAGTGTAAAGAAACCAGCCGCACACGGTTTCTTTACCCTGAGTGTTCATGGGCTGATGTTCGCATACACCACACACCCACAGTATGCGCATACCTGGACATCTATGTCTCAAAGTAATGATGTGCTGGCTGGTAAATGTGTGTGTCAAGCACGCTTCTATACCTCATGTTCTTTCCATTCAGGTCCATTCAGAATTAGCCATCTCTTTTAAGAAAACATGACTGGGCTTCAATGGCGCGTAGTTCAAGATGGGAAAACCGATCGATTGCATTCAATTGTGCTGAATTACTCCATTATTATATTCTTTCGTAATTTTAAACGTTAACACAAACAGTGGGGGCAAACTTGACAAGTTTTCCACATGCTTGTCACTGGCTTAGTTGTGGTGCTGAAAAACGCACTATAGCGCTGAACAAGCCCTGAAGAGTAGGACTGAACAATCCTGGATAAAGTGGTGGGCAATCATCATGAGACACTGTGCCTAATCCAATGTGTGATGTTTAGAACTATCATTCATTGTCTCGCTGGCTTCCCCCCGCACAAGCATTTCTGATGCCATGGATGAAAGATTTGGAACAAAGCTGTTCCTCAGCCGGCACGCTTTGGCAGGGGACGGGATGGAAATTCACAAGTTTCAAGAGTAGTCTCAAGGGTTTGTATACGTCTACAAAAAACACGCTGCGTCGGCCAGCTAGGCCGATAGTATTTGGCATAGCTACGCAATGCTTTTTCAGTAATGCCATCATTGACTATGTTGAACCCCGTCGTCCATTTTCAATGAGGTGTTGTTCAGCTGTCATGGGATGCTACTCATGCTTTCTTGCATTGCGTAGCACCAGCCCCCTATTTCGTCACCAGCTTGCGCGCGCGCTCGATCTTCTGTTGTTTGGCCTGGGCACTGCTCATGATCCTATAGGATCTAAGGCCATACAATCCTAAGACGTATCTAGCACACTTTCATGATTTATCCCAGTCTATGGCGATCGAATGATGGCATAGTATATGTGAGCCAATGATTCCAAAACCCCACCATCCCCGCTGCTGGCCTTCTGGTCCGCACGATCGTCTCCTCTCTTCTTGTCATCCTTCTCAGCCTTCTCATTCTCGGGATCCTTCTTGGCCTTCTCATTCTTGCGCTCCTTGGCTTTCTCACCTTTTGGACTGTGAGTTTTCTCCTTCCTTCGGTCCTTGGTTTTCTCGCCCTTCTGGTACTTTTTTTCCTTGGCCTCCTTCTTGGCCTTCTTATCCCTTTCCGGTGGGTTTAGGGGCTGGCTCTTTCGGCGTCACATCTGCTCATTGGTCATCTCCACCTGGCCGGGGCATGCGAAATTCAGGTAATCAATGTGGTCAGTTACCACCGCATGCCAATCCAGATTAGTCCATGTGAAATGTCAAAGTCAATGAGTTAGTGAATATTGCAACTTGAATGATGTAGACCGTGGCGGTGCCCTGACTACTGTGCAAGTTGGCGCTTGTTCAGCGCCATGGCGCTTGTCCAGCGCATGCTGACACGAAGACCCAACCCGCCTTTTGCACTTCTTCATCCTTCACTTCTTCTTTCCTGATTTCCTTTCCTTTCCATGAAGAAGATGCTTCTCCTTTCCCACCTCCTTTGAAAGCTTCTTCGTGTAGCTTCTTCACCTGGCTCATCACCTGGCGGAATGCTTGGGGAACAAAGGGAAAAAAAACATGTAATGTCCATAGCTTTGATGCCCAATCCCAGCTAGTGCCTTCCTCATCAGCTTGAAGAGTCAGTTGGTGACTGATGCAACAATTTGATGATGGCAAAAACTCTAATGGCGGCCTGGCCTCCATCATGACCTCTTCCCGCACAGCCTTCTTGATTTCTTCACTTCTGTCTCCTGCCACCGGCTGGACCGACTGGATGGTTTCCTGCAGCTGCCCCAGGGACTCTCGTGTCTGGTGGCTGAACATTTTCACCCTCTGAGCATCCCGTTTCGCAGCCCAGACTGATGTGTCAGCTGCGAATCGCTGTGGGTGGCGCACAGCATTTCGGATGATGCGGCGTTCCCGCGCCTCTCCATGAGACCGGTACCATGTGCACCCCTCGTTCAGCTGAGTGAGCACCTCCCCATGTCAAGAGAAGCCCGAGCCCAGATGGCATGTGTTACTTGGGAGTGGGGCGTTGGTTGAGTGGGCCTGGCTTGTGTGGAACTGGTCCTGGTGCGACTGGCTTTGGTGAAGGTGGCGGTGGCGGCGGCGGTGGTGGTGGCACACTTGCACGAAGAGGCTATTCGGGAGGTCGAGGCATTGGTGCAGGCTTGCTTGCTGTAGGCAAAAATCTCCGTGTGGCAGCGGTGCACTTGCCATCTGGGGCTGCTGCAGGATGGCTCGGGTTGCCAGGGAAGGTTTCGGTGGCGGAGCAGGCGGTGAGGGGTGCCCAGCAGGACACCCACAAGGCCCAGGCGATGCTGCATTCAGGATGGAGAAGGGCTTGTGTTAAAAATATGTGCATACATATATATATATATATGTGTGTGTAAACATCTATAATGTGTATGCAATGTACTGCATGTATCAGCTACAGTCAGCTGGTGGATATTCATCCACAGTCTAATGAGGTAAAGGCTTCCTACAATGGGGGTACCCAATATAGCTGGATGGTTTATAATGGAAAATCCATCTATAAATGGATGATTTGAAGGTATCCACATTTTAGGAAACCTCCATATAGTTCTTGATCCATTCTCAAAAAACAAAAACATATCACTTTAGACCCAAAGCAAGATGGAAACGACAAGACTTCTATCTTCAATTGACACCAATTCTCCAAAGCACATGTTTCAGGTCATAATCCTCAGTATCCTCAGTAGATTAGGTAGCATAAGTCCCTATATAGACCAATCAACCAGGCTATTTGGTTCATGGCTCAGGTGGATACGTCCAAAGAATTCATGGCTGAGCCGAAGATCTCCCTAGCAACAGCCGACCTCCCAGCGGCTCCTAGCTGCTGCGTAGGAGTCGGCGATTGCCTGTGTCACATATCTCGAGAAACTTCTACATTGCATAAATTTGTCTGCATATTTAATTTATGTATGTACAGTAAAATTACATTTGCACATTTATCATCCTTTATCGATGATGAATATACTTACAGTTAGACGTTAATGTTCAACTCGTATATCTTTATTTATTAATAGATGTATGCAAAGATGCTGCCGGTTGTTTTCATCCCTCGTTGTTCACCGTTGAACATCAGATGCTGCACATACAGGTATATAAATACGTGTTTTGCCTAAATCCCTCTGGTTGATTCCGGTTGCTGATCAATGCAGTGTTTATACCTGGTAGTCTCCTTCAAGTGAGTGCTCACCAAATCATTGATTCATCTGTGTAGAGCAATAAACTGTTTATTGCATGGACATCCCTGTTGGCTGTTGACCCCACACCTCCAATATCATTTGCAACCAATATCATTTGCAAGTCCAACATCTTAATTACATCGAACCCTGAAAGCAATGTTTCCACTAATCAAATCTGCAAGTTGGCATTCTTGCGTTCCAACCAAAAATTCCATGCACGTTCCAACAGTGTCGAACAGATTCTCCACCTCAATGGATCACTGAGGCAGAAGCCGGATTTATCGGGGTTCCAGAACAAGATAGCCTAAGATAGCCCGAAATCCTCATGAAGACTTAATACAATTCCAACCAATATCTCTGCTTATCCTTGAACATCAATTTTAAGACACATAAGTCGTGCTATGGGTATTTGTTTTTAAACACCAAGGACTGACCCATCGTGCCTAAGATTAGGCGCGCTGCTCGGCCGCGAACGTGGTCGCTGGTGCTTTGACAATTCTACATGGCATCGTGTATCTCTATATGTTATCATGATATCGTATGATATCTTAATCCCAAGATATGTTTATTGACTTAATACACAATTCATGGTAGTTCATGATATTCTTAATATGGTAGCATGACTTAAAGTAACTCCCAATCATATCATCATATTGGTTATTTGGGTACTATGAAAAAGGGGGATCCAATAACGAGGATATCATTGACATATTCATATTCCCATAAATCTGTGTCTTATGGTACAACTCAAATTTACTTCTCATAATAGACTACTACAATCACAATCTACTTATGGTAATCCTAGTATCGTAGCAGGGTATCCTTGGATCTTCCTTTTCAGTCTTCTTTGGGTTTGCTATATATCAAATGTCCGGCAGAAACACAAACGATTGGGCAACCACTAAACTGCCAATTGAATCCAGTTGAAGGTTTACCCAGGGTGACTTTACCCAGTTAAACAATGTAAGAACAAAACTTAAATGGATTCAACACTACCAAAACGCCCGAGATGCTCAGAACAATTCACATTGGCTGACATGGATTGCATGATCGATTTCAGCCAGTGGTATAAGATCCTTTTGTGCTCACAGAGTGTCGGCCAGTGGTTGCACCGCGTCGTGATTGCACATTCCTGACACTGGATATGTTCCGTCGGCTTTTCGGGAGCAGCCAAGATGGAGACAGGACATTCACCATTGCTTCTGCGGTTGCTTTGCGCCACCTGCACTGTGTGCTTTGCGCCTGCATGCGCCAGTCCAAACAGCGCGTGCTTCCCACCAAGAAACTGGTCAACCCGTTAGTTGATATATTGTGTAGATGGGTTTAGCTCACGATTATCACATATGTTACATTTACATACTGTTACACACTGGAATGCTCATGAATGCTCGTCCTTTTCTCGGGTTAATTTCAAGAGCAAAAATCTTATAATCTAAAACAATCTAAGACATAATATCCAAGATATATTTGACACAATCTAACACCTATTTTCAAAAACCACTTGCAGCCTTAGATACTCCTGTTTTTTTTTCAAAAGCTGGGCAAAAAGCATTCCTCCAAAGCCACACCTGGATTGCTGCGGATGCTCAATGGCGAACTGCTCACCTGGGCAGAAGGTGCAAATTTTGATCAACATAGATATTCTATCATACTATTACTTATAGAAATGGTACCTATAGTCTATTTAAGGATACTTATCATACTATAGAACTGGTATTCTATCACAGCTGTTCCATATAATTACATCTTTGATAGGCACTATTGCATAATTTCACCGATCAAGTACCTATAAGAAAATATAGAATGGGGTTGCACAGAACTATTATATAGCTGGGTATTGTTGAAGTAGCCTCATTCTTCAACATCACGCCCTGGTAGAGGCGTGATTCAATCGTCATTCTTTGAATGTCATGTTCCCACTTGTGTTGGTTTAAAATTACATCTTCAAAAATTGATCAGTGATTTCCACTATAACCATCAACCACCAGGAGTTTTGAGTACCATAAAGAACCAATAGTTCTGGATAATAATCATCAACCACCACTATCATGATGGAATTTTGACACCTACAATCTAGGGCCATGTGTTGCTTTGTAACTCGGCGAAATCTGGTGGATGTTTATGGCTGATATTTCCAGTAGGGTTGTGAACCTGAATATAACTTGGGGGCCCACACAGAAATGGCGCTACTTGGAAGAGCATCTGCAGTAAGTCGACAAGAGTAAAAACCAAGAACTGGGCTGGACATCCCATGGTCATCCCATGCATGTAACGTTATATAATATCATGAATCATGATTGTGAATCACATTCTCTGTTGCTTGATCTCTTCATCAAGCAGAATACCTTCCATACCTTCTGATCCGACGCCTTCGGGCTGAAATTCCACGGATCCCCGGGAAGCCGCTGTGGACGAGCCGGGACCTGCGTGTTTCAATCACGGCAAAAAAAGGTAAATGTTGGGATGGTGGTGACTCTATTGTTTAACTAACATTACATCTAAATCTCAATGAGAAAAAGATATGACAATATCAAACATACATATAGATAGAGAACTTGAAATAGATGAAATAAACCATATGTATATATAATAGAAATAATATGCATGTCGTGTGTAAATGATGTAGATGACGGATACTATACATCTCCATGTGTTTGCTGTGTGCCACACATACAAAATAAGTCAAATGAGTGTTCAAAGTCAAAGAGCTAGCAGCCCCATCAGGGGTACCGGAAACATTGACCCATGAGAACACAAAAGGACGAGGGATACAATTTCACTCAGGCTATTGAAAAAACACAATGAACATGGAGACAGTGTTTGTGAATTGCTGAAACATATATTTTCCTACCGTAATCTGAGCAGGGTATGAACAAGCATTCAAACAATCCCGAATTCCAAATGATTGCCCAGTTGACGGAGATGTCACGTCCCGAAGTTTTGACGCCCCCTATGTTTTTCACTGGTCTACTGTTCTAGCTCTAAGATATACGGTTTGATCCCCATGTATCTAGCGAATTGACACCCAGTTCTATTGCTTGACCCTTGGACCCATGAATTTATTGAGTCAACCCGGAGAACCATTGAGAACCCATCTTGAATCTTGACACTAGTCCACATCGTCCGTGCAAGGCGTAGACTGTTCCATTCACTATATATCATTACAATAGGGTCTTGTCTTGATGAAGTCACCATTTCCATTATACAGTATTGTAATGACAATATAATATGTGTATACATAGATATACAGTATATATGATAATGATATACATTAACCATAAATGAATGCGGGTTTCCAAAAATGGAGGTATCCAATAGCTGGATGGTTTATAATGAAAAATCCCATTAAATTGGTGATGACTGGGGGTACCCCATGACTTAGGAAACATCCAAATCTATATAGTATATTTTATTATTGGTGATACATAATTCACCATATATGATAAATATGATATATATATAATATACCAATTAGTAGTAATATTACTGGTATATTGGTTTAGTATTTATGGCATATTACTACTAATTGGTATATTATACCAGTAATATTACTGGCATAAAATGATTAGATATTAAGTGACCATTTCTATCGGTTTCGCACCACAAGATTTGCGGAAAACGTTCCCGCCTGTGAGGTCAATGGTTCCATGGTATGTCTCCTCAGAGAGCAGGCTGTTCCGTGTTCCGCTACGTTGCAAACCTCCGCGTAGACGAGGAAGCTGTGGAGGTTCCAACAAAAATGCTGGGCCGCCAAATATGTATACAATAAAAAATGTATATATATATATATATACATATATATATGTATATATGTATATATACCTACAGCCTCCAAAAAGCACTTCTTTTTCGGTTGCCAGAAAATAAAATGTTTTTTTCAAAATAAAGCGGTTTTTTTCAGGAAGGCATTTGGTTACGGGAAATTACGGGTAGAAATTTGGAAAGCAAGGTTTTTCGATTTCAAGCCCAAAAAATCTTAACTATATATATATTATTATTATTACTACTATTATTATTAATTATTATTATTTTTTTTATTATTACTAATTATTACATATTAAATTAAAAATATATGATATAAATAAATTAAATAAATATATTATAAAAACATATAAAAACATTATATATAATATATAATATATAATATAATATGTATATGCATGGATCAATTTATACATTAAATAAAACCTCGAGTTGAATGGATCATAAACCCACTTGTAGCGCAGGGCATGCCACATTGGACCCTCCGGTACTCAATATGGCACGCTGTAAGATCATCCATCTGTATCTACAAGAATAAATAATTGTGTTTGCTTGGAGAGTACTGCACCAGGATTCCCGGCTTTAGCAAACCCTGTGAAGCGAGTAGTTCGTAAAAAAACACATCTGTCAACAAGGATTGCAGATTGTAGTAACTGGTCATCATACATGGGAGATATTTAAAAACATGGTCATATCTTATGGTCATATTCCATTGTCAATATCAATGGTCATATAAATGGTCCCAGATTCATCATACCTTCTGGTAAGCGTTTACATAACTATGGAAAGATCCACCATTTTCAATGGGCAAATCCACTATAAATGGGCCATTTTCAATAGCACACTGTTAAATTGCCAAAGGGTATCAATAAACAAAATCCTGAATTGGGATATCTCAATGTGGGGATGCAGCTTGAAAATAGTTAACCCATGGATGCTCACAGTGGCCGACACGTCGCAAGCCGAGCCAATAAGGAGCGTCATAAAGAGGATGAGCAATTTATCTGGATTTAACTATGTCATATTATGACTAATGAAAACTAATGAAAACTAATGAAACATGACTAATTACCTGGAATTATCTGGATTAATGATGATTATTTAAGTGAGCGGGAACGATCATCAAATTATTGCCAACCTTAAGGGAATTCCCAACCGGAATGGGCCAGATAAGTTTTCTGAGCGAAGATGCTTAGTGATGCTTTTACAGGCTCTCAACATGTGAATCTTATGCTGACTTCAGCATGTACAAATTTGGGACAAACAAATATCATAAATATTCGTATCTGTTAATTCGGGCCATATACCACAACATCTTAAGCATAGGCGTAGACCTTCGCATAAAAATGTGCACATAATATAACTATATATAGATATGTAGTTATATATATATAGTTATAAAAAAAAATAATAATGTATATAAATTCATGAACTAAAATTAAATGAAAATGTTCGTGCATATATGTAAAACATATATAGGCAAACATCCACCGGCATCTACCAATATGTTTGGGATGGGGTAGTTTACGCACCAATATGTTCCGGGGTCCACCATAGGCCACCTATATGTTTATTTCTATGTATATGTATATGTATAGGTATATGCGTATGTATATGTAGATGTAGATGTATACATATACTATATATATATATATGAAGTCCAAGGACTCAAAAAGTACATCCTGTAAACACACTTTCAATCTACCTTTTGAGGTCCCAGACCTCAAAAGGAACGTTGCTATAAACACCCTTTAAATGTACCTTTTGAGTTTTGAGGCCCCGGACCTCAAAAGGAACATTGCTATATAGACTCCTTAATTGTGAGTAATTAATCGCGAGTAATCGTGAGTAATCGTAAGCAGGACCCTAAAAAGGCCCTCGGGCCTGAAAGGTATACGGAAAGGCCGTAAGAGGTACACATAGCAGCTCAAAAATGTGAGAAATGTGAGTGAGTTGTGACTGAACATTGCTATAAACCCTTGGCCGTGGAATCCAACAACATTGCTATGAACCCTCGGCCGTAGAACCTCGGCATTGCTATGGTTTCTCGGCGACGATCCTGGTTTGTGCCACTTTCGGCAAGGACTCACAAAGTACATAAAAGTACGGCCTTCGGACGTTGAAGGATATGTAGATCTAGGTGTAAATTGTAAATGCGTTTGTGTATGTATATATGATTATATATATAGTTATATATATATATATACCATAGGAATGTTTCGCGGGTTTCCACAGGGCCGGCAGCATTCCGTCTTCGCCTGGTCGCTCCATTCGTTCCACTGGGCACTTAGCACCACGGAAGCGATCTGAAGTGGTGGGCCTCGCGCAGACGGAATGGATACAGATATGCCACTAATAGATACCACTAATGGTTAATGGTTAATGGTTAATAGATAGTATAGATGGCAGTTAATGGTTGGTAGTTAGTAGTTACATGATGTTACATGATTATATGGCACATGAAACAATAGTACTAGTGGTTCCACATATTCGGGACCTAATTGTACAGTGGTAAAGGGAGAGTTGTTTGATCTATTAGTGGTTAGACAATGGTTCGGTTTGGTATATAATGTATGGCCATTTACCGATTGATTGTTGTAAGGGGGGCCGGGGACCTCTCTATTATTCAACCGGCCAATGGGAAAAGGACATCTATGATACGATAATAGCTACCATAAACTACACCAGAAATAGTTATGTTAACCAGATTCCCGTTAGTTATACAGAAGCGAACACAATTCATAGTTTATGCATGTTTACAGAAAAACATATACAATTTATGACCCTATAATCAGCTATAACATGCTAGAACTGACCATTCAAAAAAATGTGGTATGGCTCACGTAAGTTGAAGCAGTTAAAGTGTCATGTGCAACTGGCTTAAAGGGGCATGACTCTAGTTTGTTTTTCTGGCAGCAAAATTTAGCATTAACAAACAAAAATAATGTTTTAATTAGTATGATTTAACGAACCACGTGTGTGATGCAACCTGCGAAAATGATACACTTCAACCAGCACACGCTGTGATTCAAACACTTTGAAAAAGACATAAAACAACACATTTGCAGTTTGTCACGGAGTGAGATGTGCCCTAAAAGGTGCCAAAAATATATGTTGAACATTACTGTAGGTTTTGGAGACTGGGGTGGGGCGAAATATTCTATTATTGGACGAAACTATAGACGGATGCGAATAGAAAAGCAAGCGCTATGCATAGGTAATTGGCGCGTATGATAAATTTAACCCGCACAGCAGGGATACAATCCGAACTGACCGACCTGGAAAACTTGGTTTGGTTCTCACATTGCGGTGCAATTTGGTATACATTTTTTGTTTTGCGGGAGTGATGTTTTTGACGCTCAAACACACACATATACTTGACCTACCACACAAACTCGGGAGGGGTCATATTGGTCCAGGCAGTTTTTCATCAGGATCTAGGACATTCATGCTGTCACTGAAGGCAGCACAATATTTTATCAAACCAACGTTTGCCCAACATATAAGCACCGTGAATTCGAAAAAAATACTTTACTTCGTGTGATCCCCACCATGACATTTATACATTTTCTTACTGGCAAGTCTTCTGGCATTCTATCTGACATATCTTCTGACATTCTATTTGGCATTCTATCTGGCATATCTTCTGGCATATGATCTGGCATATCTTCTGGCATTCTATCTGGCAAATCTTCTGGCATTCTATCTGGCATATCTTCTGGCACTCTATCTGACATATCTTCTGGCATTCTATCTGGCATATCTTCTGGCATATATTCCGACATATCTTCTGGCATTCTATCTGACATATCTTCTGGCATATATTCTGACATATCTTCTGGCATATCTTCTGGCATATCTTCTGGCATATCTTCTGACATATCTATCTGGCATATCTTCTGGCATATTTTCTGGCATTCTATCTGGCAAATCTTCTGGCATTCTATCTGGCATTCTATCTGGCATATCTTCTGGCATATTATCTGGCATTCTATCTGGCATTATCTTCTGGCATATCTTCTGGCATATCTTCTGACATTCTTTCTGACATTCTTTCTAACTTTCTTCTGCACATTCTTTGTCCCATATCTTCCTACATGAGGTCCGGCAGGGAACACTGGGCGTGGATGGTCGTGGTTGAGGTCCGGCAGGGAACACTGGGCGTGGATGGTCGTGGTTGAGGTCTGGCAGGGAACACTGGGCGTGGATGGCCGTGGTTGAGGTCCGGCAGGGACCACTGTGGATCGCGAGTCGCAGTTGAGCAGGAGGACGAGGAGGACAACGAGGACGACGAGGACAACGAGAGGAGGACGACGAGAGGGACGACGAGGACAACGAGAGGAGGACGACGAGAGGAGGAGAGGAGGCAGGAGAAGGCAACTTAGATAAAATCTAACAACCCTCACCTGGCAGGTGGGGAAAAAACATCCTGACATGGATGCGTGCTGTGAAAGAGAAATGTGCCGATTCTAGCCTCATCATCATGTTAGAGCTGATACGTCTAAAATTAAAAAACATGAGCACCACGTGGGTTTGGGTTAAACTTCCCAAGGCTGAGACCTAGAACGTGACTTATGTTTAATGATTTTCGGGCTGAGACAACCAAATACCCCAAATTTGTCGCGCAAGTAGACAAAAACATGACATGATGGGTGTTGTACACAACAGGTTTTGAAAGGCAACATTTATAACGACATAATGTGGCAGCCAGCGTCGCAACAAAAGTGGGGATAGCGCATCCAATCTGTGGACACGCCGAAAGTTCAAACATCATGGGCAAGGCTTTTCCCTGACATTTTGTGTCTTTCACCTGATGCCAGGAGAATGCCCCTGAAGGCCTGTGAAAACCCCAGCGGTCCGGCAAAGTAGTTTGCAAAAAAGTGGAAAATGTCACCGCATGCCATGTAGAAAGCAACAACATCTCATCGGAAACCACACGATCACACATAAGTCAAGCCAGTCCCAGCGCTCGATTTCCAAACTTGAGGACCTCCTTTGGACTCCCAAAACAAAGCCCATCAAAGCCCATGGTAGTTGGTATCACTGCATCCTCCTGCGCACTTGCCATTCTAATGGACTAGCAACCTTGTTAACCATGTCAAATTACATTCTCATGTTTGATTGGCCTCATGCCCCTCCATGTTGTTGGTGAAATTACACCAAGCCCCTGAGTTTTCAAAGCCTCCTTTTGCTGGTCGATGGGATTTTGGCCAGTTCGGACTGCTCCTCGCGCCTGCGGCGTCAGGGCAGCCCTCGGGGTCAATGGCTTGCAAGGTTGCGCGGCGCCAGAAGCAAGTTGGTTGATGTTTGGTTCATTAACATGGGTTAACATGGGTTAACTAGGTTTCTGGCACGGTAGATCTATCAGGAAAGTAAATTGATAGACCAGCTTAGAACTGGGAAGGCCCGCGTGTAACGAATGGATTAGGATGGCCTATAGGAAACAAAAGAAAAAAGCATAGTCGATCAACCAAAGAAAAAAAACCTTCAGCAAACATCGACACAATGAGAACCTTCTTTTTTACAGTTGGCCGCTCCCTGTGCAATGCCTTGGGACAGGTCATAACTAGCTGTAGCTGGTTTACGATCTTGACGCTGTAAGTAATAGCAATCTTGTTTGATCAAGCTGCTTGCAAACATGCACATAGAATAGAACTTTGTAAAAAGAACTCATTCATTCTTCGAATGTTCAAAAATGCCGCGATATCCTCTTTCGAATCCCCGATCATCACCAGTCTCTGTTTACAATTCGTTGTTTTTTTGCGTGAATAAAAACGCCCCGCCATATACGGGAACGATATATTTCCTCACGAGGCTGCTACCTTGCGGAACAACTATCTCAATACTTGTGGGTCGGACAATTATGAACAATTGAGTATCCCAGTATCCCCGTATCCCCCTCAGTTTGTCTACACAAATTAGATCGAATTAGCATAGGACAATACAGGTACCATCAGGGGTACCGCTGGAAACACCAGCGGGTGGGTGGCTGAGGTAATCCTGTTTATTATTGCGTGTTTCCCTGCGCTCCTTTTTCCAATTGAGCCACGTTCTAAAACCCGAACTGTGTTCAGGTTAAGCAATTGTTATTAATTATTTGTTATTAATTATTTGTTATTAATTATGTGTTATTAATTATGTGTTATTATTATTTGTTATGTGTTATTTGTTATTATATTTGTTATTGCAGATGTTCATTGTGAAACAATCTCCTGCGATGTGACTGTCAGATCTGTCAGAATGCACAAAAAAAAGCGCTGCTGACCTATTCAGTGCCTTTGGCTGCTGTGAGATGGCGGTTGATGTTAGTCAACAAAACATATGCCCTTCATGTCCCTTCACTATATATGATAATATATATATATATACATATACACTACATCATATAATATACATTAATATACAGTAATACTATATATGCAAATAATCCCTTCTTCCTATTGCTAAAACTCACCCAAGTAAAAAAAAATAGGATTGGTGTGGCACTTCCGGTTTTGTTTGGTTGGGCACAATTGGATTCTTAATTGTGGAAATTGAGAATCAATACAGGATGGTGAAACAATGGGTTCCAACCCCTACTAGTATTAACCTATAAATAAAAATACATTGCCACCTGGAGGTTTTTTTATTAGGGTCCCATCTCACAAGTTTTATTCTTTATGTTCATTATTAAGGTTTTCATTGGAATATTAGGGGAAAGCATCGAAATCCGGTTTTGGCAAGATTTTATAGAGATTTTAATAAGGGATTTAATCAATTTTTTGAAAACGAGTCTTTTTTATTTTTATTATTAGGGTGTTCATTGGAAGATTAGAGGCACCCTAATACACAATACCTCCTAATAGTAAAAATAGATCACCGTGTTTACCATTTGGGGGTGGGGGGTTTAGTAATGGGAGAGGGGATTATATACACATACACCTACACACAAATACATGTAAGCTCATTAGCCACCACTCCGCATGTGTTGGGATCCAACTTGGGCAGCAAGAAAATAGATGGCCATAGAGCGTTCGCCTTCTACCCAAAAACTTGCCCCAAAAAAGAAAGAACCGCTCGCGTTGAATCGAACGTAGGACTAAAATCATTTACGGTCGATTTAATTAGGATGATTTAGGGTCCCTATATCATGTCTTGGATTGTAAGCTCTGGGATATGATGTTTTTTTTAATCGTCAACCAAACAGACGTCTTTTCTTTTTCGGGCGAACACACCCCAATTTTGGGCTGATTCAATTCAATTGTTAGTGACACTTCTCCATACAAACTGCAAATGATGCATATATCCATATCATCATGTAGAGCATACCACATTGTATATGTATTAATCTATTGTAATATATATATATATACTGATACATTTAAATGTAATCTATTATATATACATACATGTGTATGTATGTAAATATATGTATGTATGTATGTATGTATGCATGCATGTATGTATGTATGTATGTATGTATATATGTATGTATGTATGTATGTATGTGTATATTGTGTTTTTCTATATAGTACACCTATATGCAGCAAAAGACAGCCATGAATCATTGGCCCGGTCAGCCTGGAAGGGGCACTTTGAGGGCGTGACACCTTCTGCTGGCTCCAGACCACCACGTTTTGAGTTGGCACAGTAATGGCTTTTTGCGGCACAGCCTGGGAGTTCCCACAAGATGGGGGTTCTGACGATCGAACGAATGGGAAACCCAATGGGACTGCGAAGTTAATCATAGAATCGACATCATCGGTTAGTAACTACCTAAAATTTTGCATACTTGCAGTTTACCAGGTAGTAACCAGGGTTGTAAACGTGTAAACGATTCATATAGTAGATATCTTTTTAAACCACTTAGAGGACTTACTACCCAGGTTTGTTAAGCACATACGATCCGTGGGATAAGCCACCAGGTAACTAACCGTCATGGCTTGCACATTTGTTTTTTTTGGTGTACGCATGGATTTATTAAGGTGATAGATTCTGAGTTGTACTGGAGGGCTCCATGTTGGTACAAATGATTGGTGTAATCGCTGAATCAGGTTGATGAGTGTCATCGCTGCATTAAAAAGAATCCCCAATATTAAAGATCCCATCCAAGGTCGACCCAGTTCTATGTATTACTCTCCAGTAAATTAACATAGACCCTACCAGATAGGATTTGGAAGATTAGTTTCCACTCAAAATCGGTGATGTTCAGGGTCGAACTGTTAATTTACCAGAGGGTAAAATTCCCTACATTGTACTAGAAAATATAGTACCCTCTGGTAAACTAACATAGCTATTGAAAATTGCTATTTATAGTTGATTTACCCATCAAAAATGGTGATTTTATCCATAGTTATGTTAGTTTACCAGAGGGTAAAGCTTCAACAAATCCTTCATGATCTAAGTCTCCAATGATCTGACACAAAGGTCTTCCAGAACACAGGAGGCGGTCTATGCAAAGGCGGTATAGCCCTGAAACCATGCCCAAAAACAGCTATAACTGGCTTATAATACCTTATCATGATATACTGGTTGGTGGTGTACCTACCCCTCTGAAAAATATGAAAGTCAGTTGGGATGATTCTTCCCAATATATCATGGAAAATAATCCAAATGTTCCAAACCACCAACCAGAATGATATATCATATGCTATAATGGTTATATTTAATGTAACTTGTGAGAAATCATAGGCTTATCCCGACTAACAGTCAGACAGCGCCAGTTATAACCTTCGTTACAGGAGTTACTGGACTCGTCCCACCTGGCCTGAAGCTTCCTCCAGGTGTTCTCCAAGTTCTCCCCAGGTGCTTCCTGCAGCAGTTTAAGCGACATTGAACATGGCCATTGATGTTTGCTTTACCCGGCCTGGTAAACGTTTACAGTTTGCGAACTGGGAAGATCCACCATTTTTAGTGGCTAAATCCACTATTTCGACTGGGCCATTTTCAATAGCTATGTTTGTTTACCATAGGGTACTTCGTAAAAATGCTGATGTTCCATTTCGTTATGTAAACGTTTACCGGTATATTTCTCTCACGGCCAATGGAGTATCGAAGTTCCATACATCAGTTGTTGAGCACTCAGTTCCCCCCGCATCGACTTGGGACTTTCTTTTGGCATCGACCAGCAGGGCCGGTTTCTTTACAAGAAGCACTAACACCACGCAGGCGTCTGAGAGAATATGATCCATGGCAAGTCGGGCGCGAGGGCCAGTGCTACATGGTCCATGAAGGGCTTCAAGCCACTACTCCTTAATGAGTAAACCGGCGGTATGGTAATATTGGGGATAATCATCTGCAAAATTATGATCTATACATTCGGGCTGAATTATAAGACTCGTTTTGGAATGCTTACCCTCATTCACCACCATTCCAGTGAGTGAGGTCGTTGTAATTCATCCAATAATCATCTCAAATTGTGAAGTGATATATTGCTTGATTGGTTGTTGGTGGCTTTCCCAGCAAAGTGAACCTCAGGGTCTATCTTGAGATTGCGCATCTAGCCTCCCAATCTATCCATGTCCGATCGGAAAGCACATTGGGTGCACTTCTAAAACTACAAGCGGAAATGTGGAATACCTCCCTTTGCCTTTGATGTCAAGAAACTCAACAAACACTTGGGTTTGTCTGAACATTTGATGGCTAAGCATCATTTCCAGTACAAAAACTACAGTTTTGGGGTATCAATTTACTCAACCAGGGCCCAACAAAAGGGATGTCTTAAGCTTCCACTCACCCGGACTCAGCGCTGACTTGTCGTGGCATCGGTGCGGGTACTGGGAGGCAAAGCCAGGAAGCGCGATGGCACAGACGGTGGAAAGGTGAAAGGCAAGATCCGGAGTTATACACTTTTCTCAGTGGATTGGTTTAGATTTAGGGGAAAATCGTCACTGGACACACCATGGTTTTTGCCAGAAAAAAATATACGGGGTTTCCGGCAAAATTGACCACCAATCCAATGCGTCAAGTGGGATCATGGTCACAGCCAGGATTCAACCGGAGACTTGCAGAATGAATATATCAATGGTATTATTGGAATAATCCCATCAAACATGCACATGAAATTTGAACATGAATATCGAAGTACGAAATACTTCCGAAATTGGGTTTGCCCTCTGGTAATTTAACATAATTATGGAAAATCACCATTTATAGTGAATTTTCCCATGAAAAATCCAGCATGTGGCCACCAACTTCACTGACTGTCCCAAGTGCGCTAGACTTTCCAGCACGAAGCAGGTCCAAAAGGGGCACAGCAGCACAGCTGGTTGGGTGAATTTAAGTGGTTTTCACCATGGTCTGATTTCCCAAGAACTCATTCTCATTATACAGTAACTCGTCTGCTTGGTGGTTTCAATCCATCCCCACCAATATGATAATAATAATAATAATAACAATAATATACCAGTATGTATATATAATATATATACATATACCATTATATTATAAATATATATATAGTAGTCATTGAATTGAATAGTGATGGGGGCAATCATGCCAACATGTGCCAACTAATATGTATATATATATATATTTATATACACTAAAAACACATTATGTCAAACATGTTTGAAACAACAAACCCGTCATGAGCTGTTTTTTCTGCAAACCAGTTAGGACGGATGGAACGTTCAAAAATGAGACTGAAACCATGGACCATCTATGGCCCTTTCAATGACCAGCACTTTTGAAGCCTAACAACTCAAGATTAGGAGTCTAACAACTTTTGAACCAGCACTTTTGAAGCCTAACAACTTTTGGCCCTAATGACTAGCACTTTTAAACTGCTGGGAGTCCTTGTTCCTTTTTTGGGGCCAGGTATTCCGCTGTCAGGGCCTAAATCTCTGGCGGTGCTCAGTTTTTAGTGTTCAGTCAGACGTTCAAAGTCATAGTTCAAACCTGGTAACCTATCTGACCTATATATCTATATATAATATTAAGATATATTAAGCAATTCATATTCTATAATCTTCTCGTTCCTACATCACAGGATTTGACCAAAACTGGCTGCTTTCCAAGCACCAAGAACATATCCCTTAAAACACCAGAGGTCTGATCACCACGTTCTCCACCCAGCAGATCTACATACGTCACGTGAGGTTCCACCATCACTGCTGTGCGAAGTCAGTCTTATTGAGCTTTACATCCTCGGTAACTTGGTCGATGGTGTCGATGGTCAAGTTGATCAATCCCCGAGTGTTGGATATTCCGTGACAAACCCAACATGCAAAAAAAATCAGATCCCAAACAAGCTACCCTCTGGTAATTTAACATAGCTATTGAAAATGGCCATTTATTGTGGATTTTCCCATTGAAAATGGTGATTTTCCATAGCTATGTAAATGTTTACCAGAGGGTATACATCTAGCCAGAGGCTCCAGTTCATCCCAGCGCCAATCGAAGTTTCCACCCCGAATGGTGGCCATCCGATCCCTCCCCCCCTTTTTTCACGATCAAATGTCGAAAAATCACCACATCACAATGGTGCTTAAAACATCTTAAAACCTGAGGCACCAATTCCCACCAATTCCATTTTTTTCAACCCACCACATCATGTTTTTTTACTGCTTGTTATGCCCCCCAAACGTCTGCATGTTGTGATAGTCGGAAACATGCATCCAGGAACATGGGCCAAATCCCTTTGCTTGTGCTTCTCAACTTCTCAACAGGGGAAGGGGGATGTAATCATTAAGTGATGAGATGTATTAATGTATATTTATATACAGTATCTACAATTATTAGCTGAAGTATAATGACTAACCAGCCATGAAAAAAATGTATGTGTGCGAGAATTGTCCTCACTAACCCCATCATCTACAGGGAAGTCCTGTAGAGGACTTAATAATTGACCCGAAACTATATATACATACATATGTACATAATATGTACTTAAGGGTACACATCGATTCCCAAACGATATTCACATCTATATAGTATTTATATATATAATAATAATGATGATAATAATAACAATAATAATAATATATATATATGATATAATCATATTATATCATATTATTATTGCATTATTGGCATAATTATAATCATTATGATTATTATCATTATCATCATTATCATCATTATTATATCATTATATAATATTATTGCTATTGTTATGATATAATAATAAACAGATACATAAAAATATATATATCTTAGTTTCTATTCTTCTTTGTTCTTCTGAGTGTTTTGATCCAATCTTCTGCAGCTCCGCCAAGGCGCGGTGTCAATGACCACGCCGCGTGCCTTCGCCACGTGCAGCATGTCCTTGTCGCCTCGACCGCAGAGATTCACCAGCCTCGGCGGTGACGGCGGCACCGGCCGGGTGGAATTTTAAGGGCCAGATGTCTCTGGTGGCGTGGTGAGGTTTTTGATGAACTATGATACTGATATGATACTGATATGATACTGATATGATACTGATAATATATGTTTTTGCTGTTTGATGGAAAATGGATTTGTTCAAGGGCTTGTGTTTTTGTTGTTCTCGGTGGTCCATGCATAATGTTTGAGGGAAAGAGTTGGACAGCTGAAACCAAGGCAAAACTGGAAGATCTCACAATCCCCATCTCGACGTGGCGCCACAAAGGTCAAGCGTCAACGACGAAACAATTCATGTCGCCAGGGGTATACACTACATCAACATCATATCAACATCTAATGTATGAGGCACAATCTGTTCAGCCTATCTGAACCTCTAGCTCAAGATCATTCAAGTTGTGCCTTCTTGTGTAATGACTTACAGTACATCGTTCTACTATCACATCTACTATCACTCTACTATCCATCAACCCCATAGCACTTCAAAGATCATCCCAGCATCAACAGTGCCATGTATGCTACTACTCATTTCTACTACCCATCGCCATAACATAGCTACATAAAGTTATAGCTGCCATAGTTATATAAGTTATACCAAGTTCTACCTATTAACACACCCTATCTGCCATATCATATATGAGTTGTACATAGTTATCTGGTTGGTCGTTTTAACCATCTTGAAAAATATGAGTTCATCAATGGGAAGGATGACATCCCATATATTGTGGAAAAAAACAGTGTTTGAAACCACCAGCCAGATATACCTACTAATAAGCCAAACTATGCATCACCCAGCGTTCCAAGGAACACGATCTTGTCCTTCGGCAGGGACTTGGCGAACTCCATGGTCTGATGCAACGCGTGACTCGGCTCCAGGGCTGGCACGATGCCTTCTTTCCTGCGAAGATTTGCTGCACAGAATGGAAGTTACAACACACATTCACTTGTACACATTTCATGAATCCAAATGATTTCTAGAAATCAAAAAAACCGATTTATGTCTGGATTTGCACTAATCATGAATCTAAACACACATTTATCATAGCCATTTTGTCATTACTGGCGATGCCTTTAACGTAGCCACGACCGCCGACATCCTGGAGACGGTTCTCATGGCATCTAAGGCTTGCTGGTCCGTGGCGAAGACGTACTCTACGCGACCTGAATGGTCATGATTGAATCTCCTATAATATCTATATCTATACAATATCTATATATATATGTATGCCATACAATATCTATGTGTATCCCATATGATTTCATATATAAATGTGTATCCCATACAATATCTGTATATATATATATATATCTAGCCTATCCCACTATGTCCCATATACAAAATGAAATACATAATGTGTATGTATATATATATATATAATATGTATAATATATATATATATATATATAGTACCCCAGGGTAACCTAACATAGATGTGGAAAACACATTGTTTCCCAGTTGGAAAATGATCTACAAATGGTGGGTTTTCCACATCTATGTTAGTTTACAGGATGGTATATATATATATGTATGATTGGGTGATATTGGGTTAGTAGGGAAATAAATGGTGATTAATCACTGGATGATATTGTTGCACCAGAACATCCTGGGATCTGTGCAGAATTCCTTTGCTGGCAATGGACTATGCTCCACGTATACATTTAAAGCTCATCAAACATATGGTGTGTCCAGAATTGCCATCTGTATACTGTAGATTCAAGTCAAATCCAGGTACCTGATGTAGTTCTTCACAGCAAACTGGCTGGAACAACGGTTGGTGAATAGCAACGTAAATTATGGCTTATCAAGTTATCATTCTCCGTGAATTAGGTAGTACAATCCTCCTAAATAACTTAGATAGACAACACCTCCCAAAATAACTTACAAGTATAAAAACAAGAAACAAATAAACTTAGGCTTCGGTAGTATAACCCCCTTATAACCAACATCCCCAAAACAAATTATAAGTAATTTAAGTAGGAAAACAACGTAACTAGATCAAATCTAGATCAATAAGCTATAGTATACCCTCTGGTAATTTAACATAGCTATTGAAAATGGCCCAGTCGAAATAGTTGATTTACCCAGCTATAAAATGGTGGATTTTTTCAGTTCGCTATGTAAACGTTTACCAGAGGGTAACTGGTTGGTGGTTTGGAACATCAATTGGGTTACTCTATATAGATAATGGATAATATAATGGATATTTCCATGGATTACATGGGTTATATAATGGTTATTACATGGTTTTCTTCCCAACCATGGCCTTTTTTCCTTCACCCGTCCCCGTCGTCCCTCGCCGTTGTGCTGCCGCGGCACCGCAGGCTTTCAGCGAGGCGTGCTGCGGGCCGACGCCCGGGTAGTCCAGGCCCGCGGAGATGGAGTGCGTCTCCTTGATCTGACCTCGGAGAAGGGAGGTTCGAAGGAAAAAACAGGGTGAATTTAGGGGTGAATATATGATATGTCCTCGCTCTATATCTATCTATATCTATCTCTACATATATATATAATGTATATTATATTAAATTATATTATATTATATTATATTATGTTATATTATGTTATATCATATTATATTATACTATGTATTATATTTTTTTTATCATATTATATTATATTACATTACATTACATTATATCAAATTATATTCTGTTATATTGAATTAAAATATATTATATAATTATATTATATATATATCATGATATATCTAGTGTATAGATCATTAATGCATATATCTCTAGGTCTGTCCATGCGTGTAGATGAATATTGATGAAGATATGTTTCAAAGCAAGTCCAAGCGTGGTTTATGGGCGCCATGACATGTCCAAATGGAAGCCCAGACTTGGATTTGCTCAAGATGCTCAAGGGATCATGAACACAAAAACAGGTTCATTTCTCAATTGATTGTTTATCCTCTGGTAATTTAACAGTTCACCATGGAACACTTGCCATCTAATTGGTGGTTCAACCCCCTGAAAAATATGAAAGTCAGATTGGATCATCATCCCAACTATATGGAGAAAATAAAAGCCAGGTTCCAAACCACCAACCAGCCATTAATGTAAGATAATGTAAGCATGCCTCAGCTATTATTTCCACAGCTGGATTTCCAAAGGGTAACCTCTGGGGAACTCGCTGCCCAGGGGACCGTCTGGGGACTGCAAGAGGTAGGTCCGAGAGCCATGCAACACGCCTCTCAAGCATTAATCCCGCAAAATCCCATGAATTGTCATCTTTTTCCTCAGTATCTATGGCCATTAGTGGGGTTCTTCTCTGCTAAAGTGAAAAGGCCATTTGGAAGCTATACAATTCCAGACCAACCATGACCAACCCATTTTTTCGGGAAGGAAAATCACGATGTGAAACCGCCACGCCTTTTTTTATAGCCTTGCATACTGCATGACATGCCCATTTTCTCAATGAACCCCAAAAATTGACAGAGTTCATTCGCCATTTTGGGCAAAGTCAGCTGCAATCCTCATAATGGCGGGTGAAATATCAACATATTTTTTTTGATTCGGAACTATCCATGAGTATCCCCATTCTTGAGGATTTGTCTGGATATTTCTGGATATCCGCAGATCTCCGCGCCTACGGTCCCCTTGGTCAAGGTAGCCGAGTGCTTGTCCGTATCGGAGCCATCCTGAGGTGCGGTCAATGGGACATCCACTCTGATGGGAATCCGCACGGTGTCCCAAAAAAGCACCTTCTACATGGTCCCAGAGATGTTGGAAAATTCCCTACTAAACCATGGTTTCTGAGTGGTGGACCAATAAATCCCCATAAATCCCCTACTAAACCATGCTTTCTGGGTGGTTTTTCAGGAGAAGGGACGGAACTTTCCACCATCGAAAAAGTCTTCGAATGATCTCTGACTTTGCTGGGAAACGTCACCACCGGAATCCAGTGGTTGCGTCATTCCGAGCGTGAGGGCACCGCATGTCATTGGAATTCATCCAGCGATGGTTGGTGATAAATCCCATCTAAATCCCATGAAAGTAATGGTTAACTCCCATTCAATCCCATTAAATCCCATTAAATCCATCTAAATCCCATGAAAGTGATGGTTAACTCCCATTAATTCCCATGAAACTTCGCTCTATCATAGATTATTTTGAACCATAAAACCAGCCTCAAAAGATGGGTACCATAGCTTAGATGAGTGTTGGTAAAGCAATACTAAACCATCCATTGTTTTACCAGAAATGAACGGTATTAAATGTACAAGTATAAACTGGATTCAACATGTTCATTTTTTTGAATCCATCATTGTTTGGAATTGGGGATTAAACAAAACCAATTGTTTGTACAACAAAATATTTCATTTTATTAACATTCATTGAACAAATCCATGGAAAATCATGGAACACCCATCATTTTTTGAAGTTTCATGGTATTTTAATCCCCAATTTTCACATCTTCGGGTGCTGCACATATCGCCCAGGTACTGGCAGCCAGGGGCCATGTTCACCTCCAGCCTCCACACCGATGATTCGCACCTGGAGAGTAGTGAGAATCATCCCACTTAGGAACTGCAACTTATAACTACATACATATATATGTATGTATATATACACACTGTACATATAACCCTTTATAATCTTTTATACCTATGTAATCTATGTATATATATATATATGGAGAATCGTCTAAATAATAGAATCAACTCTTAAAACACAAGGGTTAGAAGCCGGTGTCTAGGTCAGATGATCCTCCAAGTAGCAAAAATAACTATCAGCAACTGCGCGGCCAGTGCATCCCAGGGGCAGAAGCGATTGATACCGATCATCCCAACAATGCGGGGCTGCATACAATGGCAGACTTAATACTGGTTGGTGGTATACCTACCCCTCTGAAACATATGACTTCGTCAGTTGGGATGATGACATTCCTATGATGGGAAAGTCATAATCCAGCCATGTTCCAGTCACCATCCAGTAAAAAATATCCAGGCTTACTAAGCAGTGGAGACAACAACTCTGGGATTGGTGATTTCTCAACAGTGTGAAATCAGGGCCATTGTGGGGACGGTAAGTTTTAGGCCAGGATTGGATCCCAGCAATGAGGACGGTTGGCAAGATGGATGGACCATGGATGGACATATTTCATTTAGATTCATGGTTCGGACTAGGTCATAAGCCCCATGGTTTGTCTAGTTGTAAGTATCAACCATAGATATTGGAGTAGATATGAACCAGCTTTGCTATCTAGGCTATCTAGGCGGGGGCCATGTGGTTATGGTGGGTTTTACAGTTGTACATTCACACCACGTCCGAATTTGTCCTCATATGGTACGGAGATGTCGAACTTGGCTTGTGGATATAGTATGATATAGTGGGATATAGTGGAATGTATGGGATGAGCCATTGAGTTAGTTGACTGGGCCATTGAGTTATAAGTTTCTCCACTTACTGCTCCCAAGTATACATAGCTAAGTAACGAATTCCGTAGCCCACCGAAGTAAATGCATGATATTATTCCATGTACATAAGCAAACATTTAAAAATACATATATCATTATCATGGCCTTTCTAAGACCCCCCGACAAAAAAAACAACTTAGGGGGTACAAGGGCCCATGAATATCAACAATACGTACCTGAAAAAGCACCCATCCAATTGGGAAAATTCCATCCAAAATTCCATCCAAAGTATCCCATTCTCCGAATTTCTCCGACCTCCTTGTCTTCCAAGAAGGCGTTGAACATGCCGATGGCATTGGAGCCGCCACCCACGCACGCCACCACGAGATCCTCGGCGGAGCGTTTTGGACATGTCTTTTAAAAAGGGGACTTGGCATTGACGACAATCATTGGATATGTGTTTTTGTTCATTGGAGAATTTTGGACATACTATGTTTACTATATATAGTATGATACCCTCTGGTACTTAACATAGCTATGGGATAGACTGAGACGTCCCAGCTATAGATGATTACCTCTTTAAAATGCTAATGTTCCAAAGCTACTTTAGATGCCAGAGGGTACAGTGTGTATTCTGCTGCGTCTCGGAATTTCTCAGAGGGATTTGATTTGTGGAGTCAATAGCAACCAACTGGATTCTTCGTAGGTAGTCGGCGCTGAATCAAGATATGATGTTAGGTATGGTGGGATCACCACAGGTTTTTGAAGCAAAACATTGGGGTATGACCGGCATATCTACCGGAAATATTGCACAATGGCAATGGTTGGAGTAGCAAAAATCTACCCTCTGGTACAATGATATCCTCAAACGGGGACCTTTTTTGTTTGGTACCTGTGATTGGTTTGGACGGTTAGGAAAGATGAGACGTGTCAATGTCGCTCAAAGAATCAGTTGGAAAAAGGACATCTAAAGCTTGGGAAGCCCCAATCAAAGAGTATTGATCCTTACCCTCTGGTAATGACTAACATAGCTATTGAAAATGGCCATTTATCTATATTATAGCGAGTTTTCCCATTAAGACTTGTGATTTTCCATAGTTATGTTAGTTTACCAGAGGGTATCTCAATGGATTTGTTCATGGATTTTCCGATGAAATAAATATGCTGGTGTAGGGCATGGTGGTGTATGGTGCTGTCCTGCAACCTGTCCCTTACAGCAATCAATCCATGGATTGTGCTCCACTCAGCCAACTTCGCCATTCAAACAAAACGTGGCGTCTACCATGAATTTAGGGTGATACCAAGGACCATGTCCAATCTTCGATGCATCAGAACGGGCTGTTTTCCGTGGGCCAGCACTCTACTACTTCAACCCATCCGTGCTATAGCGGCTCAATCCATTACTTCCACCCAGTTCTCAACAACCAATCGTATCCAACAGATAAAAAATAATCAGTTCTCATTCATTAACCAATACTATTCAATAGTATCTGTTGGATAATTAGTATCCAATTATTCATTAACCAATAGTATCCATAGTATCCAACAGCATCCAGCTAGGTCATTCATCCTTCACCACTATCCAACAGTATCCACCTAGGTCAAAAAATCATCCAACTTCTGAAACCTTCACATCATCCCCTGCCAGCTGCAGCTCAAGGACCGGCAATCGTCCTGGACCATTGGTGAAGGTGGGATGCCCGAACTCACCACTGGTCTGGTTCAACATCCTGAGTGCCGAGCCGTCTTCAACCATGAAAAATATGGAGGTTTCACTATGGAAAATTGAGGTTTTACATAGTTTGACATGGTTTCAAGCCATGAAATTTTCGGGGGACTTGACCACCAAACATGTGGATATTAACCATCAAACATGGGGGATTAGCCATAAATTGAAGCTTCACAACCGTGAAAAAAGTGGGTTTAGCAAACTAGGGCAATCAGCAGGGCTGGATTGCTCCCTGGCGGCCTCAAATACTGAGGAGATTTTGGTTAAATAAATAGGTAAAATCACCCATATTTCCACCGTTGTTGCCATCATCTACCTATAATAGACCTGACCAGGCTCTTGTACTTCATCAAAAATGAGGGGTGAAATGGGTTAAGCAGTTCCACCATCAATAATGGAGGTTTGACATGGTTTAACCATCCTGATATGTTCTACTTGGCTATAGGGATATTGGTGAAGGTTGGATTCAGAGGGGAGTACCTCAACCCAGGTGTCTGTGCTCGCGCTTCGTTGCCGATGACGCTCTGCAGATCTCGAACGATGTCCTGACGTGACGATGAGCCACTCGGGGTAATGAAGCACAACACGGGATTATAGCAACCCAAAAAAAAGTATCAAAAACAAACAGAAAAGTCAAATCCTAAGGGTTTTCTCATGTTTTCTCTGGCACTGTTGTTAGTGGTTGCTAATTTGCTATATATATATATTTAATATACACCTTTTGATATGGATCAAAACAATGGCACCGCGGCTTTCACAACCTTCAAGGCATACACCCTCATTTGGTCATGGTTGCATCCATCCAAACGCTGTCTCAGGATTCCTTGCCAACCTACTCCCGCAACAAAAGTATTGAAAAACTTTAGAACTCCAAAGCATAGCACTTTTTTAAAGTTCCAACCTGGTTTTTCAAAATGGAGGTATACTAACGGTTTACCATTATGGAAAGATCCACCATTTTATAGCTGGGTAAGTCCACTATTTCTATGGAGCTATACCATTGTATACCCCAAAACTCACCATCCACCCCTTCGGGTTGGCCAAGGGCATGACCAAGTCACCGGGAAGGGGTGGGGTCCCACCGCACTGCCGATGATGTAGTGTGTGGTGCGGATGTTCGTCACCCAGTCGCGCAACGCCTTGAAAGGTTCGGATGGTCATCGCAAACTGACGCGTTTTTTTTAGTACATGTTGAATGATTCATGGTCACATAGTAGATAATTACATATATCATAACATTACTATGCTTTTAGTAATTCATGTTTAATGTCTAGTAATTACTATGTGATTTTCAATGTTTCACCATATGGTCATGGAATAGTCATGGCATCTGCATCATCTCCAGCGCTCCTGGCCTCGTTGACAGCATCCTTCAGCGTGCGGCTGCCGCTCTTCACGGGGACCACGGTGGCACCCAGCTCGCGCATTCCTGGCGTTGTCGCTTCCCTTCAGTGGGCTTCGCAAGTGGTACCTCTGGTAAACAGACAAAAAACTATGGAAAGATCCACCATTTTATAGCTGAGTAAATCAACTATTTCTATGGCCATTTTCAATAGCTATGTTATAGTTTACCAAAGGGTAATCCATGTAATCCATGTAATCCATCCTATATCCATTATCTATATTAAGTACCTAGTAACCCCCGATAGAAGTTAGTGCATTGATAGTGAAATACCGATAAATTGATATAAATTGATACCATTCTATATCCACGATGTATGGGAACCAATTGAAATGTGGAATATCTCAACTTATCCAATTTTGGTGGTTGAGCCACGGCCTTGAAAAAAATGCGAGTGACACAGGAGATCACCGCTACATAGCTCGATTCGAATAAGATGCTCTGATGAGTGGTGTCCTAAAATAGGGCTACCCCAAATCATCCATTTTAGATTGGGATGTTCCATTTATAAACCATCCATTTTGTGGTACCTTCATTTTAGGAAACCTCATAAACATAGTTTGAACTGGATGATGGCTCAAACCAGACTCAAAAACTCAAACTATTGGTGTGAACGGGATTTAGCGTGGGGGATCGTTCACCTTAGATTCCCATCAACCAAGGCGGCAGTTGAACTGATCAGCAGCTGGATTTTATATCAAGTAAACATGTCAGAGGATTTCACAAACTCCAGAAATTGTGCATGAATATTCATAGAGATTTGGGGGGCTGGATCATTCTTTTTCTACACTAAGAGTAGCTCCAAAATTCATTCACGAACACTCAAAAAGACAACTACCCTCTGGTAATGACTAACATAGCTATTGAACATGGCCATAGAAATCATGGATTTTCCCATTGAAAATGATGATTTTCCATAGTTTTCTGTATGTTTACCAAAGGGTAGTCCATCTGCGGTCATCTTGGGCCTAAAATCTTCACCTGGGGAGCACCAGCTTGAGCTTGGTAGGTGGACAATATTCGAGTGATTCTACCAATTAAATCCAATGATAATCCCGGTATATCTCCACTTCGAATCCCAAAGAGATTGGGATTAGAATTGGACTATCATGACATTCCAGGTATCATGATTATCATTATATTGGGATTATTGGCATATTATTGGGATTATGATGGGATTATCATTTCTTGCTTTAGATGATCCCATCATCCCATGGAATTTTGGGCGGGTTTCCGGCTAGTCATGGGGAAATCCGTCGAAAAAATGGATGAGAACTGGAGGTATCCCCCATGACTTAGGAAACCGCCAAATGTATAGTCTGTATAATATAAATAATTGGTGATACATAATTTTACGGTATATGATAAAGTTTATAATTATGTATCACCAATTATATTATATTATATATTTATTTATTGGTGATCCAAAAAACATACACACCATATAATCCATATATGCATAATATACCACATGATATACCATTATTTTATATATTTATTCATAATTTACCATGTATGATATATATATAATATACAATGTGGGGCCCCCTAGATAACTAAGTTGCTTTATAACTCCCATTTCACTATGGTTTATGATACCTATAACTATAGTATTCATGGGATTTATAAACCAACAAACATAACTGGGTGGCCTCACAATGTACCATGTGTTTAGTACAGTGTGCCATTTATAGTGGATTTACCCATTAAAAGTGATTGTCCATTCAAAAATGTGATTTTCCATAAAATATACCATATAATTTCATTTTTTGGATCCAAGCGTCTGAAGCAGTTCAACTTCTGACGTTCCGTGTCGATCTCACCCATGTAGACCACCTCAGCGAAGGATTTCGGAAACGGCCGACGGATCCATGGATCGGAAACGGTGGCGGTGGTCAAAAGATAGGCAAACATATCGGTATAAAAAGCGGAACAAATGATATATATGTGGTGATTTAGACATGATATATATATATATGGTATATGTATGTATATATATATATATATGACATTGATAGACTATATTAATCTATATATGGTGATTTAGATGGTGATTCTTCACCAAGAATGTACAAAACCAAACGTGTATGGATATCATGGGAGGAAATGGAATGTGCAAGCAACAATGGCTACTACTGTTTCCGCAATTTATGTGGCCATATGTGGCTGCAAAATAAAACTGGGCTGGTGGTTTCCTAGTTATATGTTTAAAATTGTTTAAATCTGTTTCTTACATATTCCCATGTTTGGTGAAACCCAATTGAATTACTGTAATTGTTGAAACTACCAACCAGCAAGTTTTACTGGTTGCAAACCTGCAGTATCCCATTGTGATTCAACCAATTGCTTTTCATCTGGAGGCCACCAATCAATTTCATGTTAGTACTGAATGGTCTATTGGTCAAAATCCACCGAATGAATGCACACTGAATGCTATACGGTGCATTTTTGGATACCAACATCTACCCCAACATGATATTATCATATGATATGTGAATAAACATTCCAGCACCATGGCACCCTGCAGCAGATGGGCAAATAAGAAACCAACATCCACCAACCAGCAATCTCCATGACATTGCTGCTGGATTAAACCCCACCAGTCGGTAGTTTCCCCGATGCCACTTCCGAACCAAGCCGCACATTCCAGGTCTAAGAGCGCACAGGCAGCTGCCGTGGCCACTCCGTGCTGACCCGCGCCAGTCTCGGCCTTGGCGAAGGAGAAACGGGGATCAGACGTCGGACTTCTGTGCGCGTCGTCATCCAATGTCATAAGAGAAATCCTTACCCTCCGGTAATTTAACATAACTATGGAAAAGAACCATGTATAGTGAATTTTCCCATGAAATATGGTGGATCTTTCCAGTTCGTTATGTAAACGTTGACCAGGCCGGGTAGTCCATCTGATGATAACCTATGGTTGACATATCTACTGTAGTATTACCAATGGGATGATGATATAAATCCTTAGCCATATGATAACATACTGGTGAATCAAACACCGACCAAAATATGCTCGTCATCTCAATCATCCCAACACATCCCGAAAATTGATGCTTGAAGAAGCTACCGAATATCCCATAGGATCCATGGTGCTGGTATATATGCTAACACTGGGGGTATATTGATGGTAAATGTATGTAAATGTTACCATATATAGCATACATGGATCCTATGGGTATTGAAACATTCAACCAGTACAAAGGGTATAAAGAGAACTCGCTACTGAATTGACAAGTCCCATCTTCCCATCCGGCACTGGCAGGACTAGGTTGATCCAATCCAACTTGACCATGGCACATGTTCCAATTTACCCATGTGGGATGGATGGAAAGGGATAGACATGGAATTTTAAACCTATGAGAACTCAATGGTTGAACCTGCCATGTTGAGATGCTGACAGATCATCCCGTGCGTGGGATAGGAACCATTCTTTCATCAACATGTTGACCTACCATTTACCAGGTTTAATTGGTGTCAAATGGCAATGAATCTGAGGTCTTTATGTTACTCTCCAACTAGTCTGCCGCCACACAATCGAACACCCATCTGAAATGTTGAATTTACCGCAGATTGGTTGGCATTGTTTGGATTTATTCTTAGCCATTTCACTATAGGTATATCCACCAAATCATAAACCGTAATTAATCATTTCAACACTCAACCACTTAGTTTCTTCTTCACACATCCTTTTTCTTCTAACGAAAGGTGATCTCAACCACTCTTCTCAGTGCAGCTTGCCACTGCAAACTCCGAACTTTCTGTGTAGTTGGATCCTATTACTTTCACACATAGTGATTTCTTGAACCGTATTTCAATTTGTAACTATGCACGTACGTAGGTGTAATATGTGTATATAATATGTGTATATAATATTAAATATATATATATATATGTGAGTGGCGGACAAAATTACTTACTACCCGCAATGGACATTGCCAAAGTGGGTGGTCCCCTATCGGTTGTGAAGGTCTGTACTTCCATGCTATGTAGAAAAATAGGGTATCGGTAAGTGGGTGGTCCCCTATCGGTTGTGAATGTTTTCGCACAAATTTGAACATCCCATGTCCACTCCGACTACTTTAGTTTTCCGCTAATTTTGTCGGTTACTCATATAGTTATATAAGTATATGAATATAATTATATATATACATAAATGGATATGCGCTTACTTCATATATACGTTAAGCCCAACTTTCATCCGCAGCCCGGGGCCCGGACGATGATTCGTTTCTTTCCCAATTTCATGGCCTTGGACGTGAAGGAATGGGGGTTGATCCCCAAGGGATAGCGGTCAATGAAATCTCTGGTGGTTTGCAAAGCCTCGCAGGATATCTGATGATTTCTGATGATTTCTGTAGATACATCATGATATATCAGGATGTATCAGGATATATCTACATCAACAAACTTCCAACATCAAAGTTACCAACGGAACGAAGTAGCTTGGGCACCATTTCTCTAGTAGATTCCATGGATTCATAATATATTGGGCTACCCCAAGTTTGAGCACACCCAGATCTTACAGCTAGACCCTCCAGCTCCAGCTGTACTTACCCATTAAAATCGGTCAAATGAACTGTTGGATGGGGCTGCTTTTCTGAAATGATCATCGCTGTGAGATGCTATTGAGGGTCTAAGCACCTTATAGCACCTTAGCTACATTCTCTGCAGTTGTTGTCTGAATCCCTATAATTCATAATTTATCCGTGGACGTCCATCCCCCACACATGGATAAATCGTCGAGTCTGTGTTTTGTATTTCACCATCAGTGGTATCCATCCCCAGAGTTAAAGCCAATGGTTGGGTTGGGCACAAGCCCCCTCAACAATTCGGTTTGTCTGAACATAGAGTAGCCCAAGACCTTGTGGTGTATCATCACATCTTCAATTCAAACGACCCTTGGAGGGATTCCTAATGTCAAACAAACCCAACTAGCTGAAGTGGTTGCAATAACTAAGTGGACTGTTAATTGCTGTTAGGTTTGACGATAGATATATCATAATAAGTATAATTACGCCTCATTATATATCTGCAGTTGGGTTGATTTAAACCAACTTACAACTGGGAGCACCCAGCAGCATGTAATTCAACTTAGATCCAAAATGTGGGTCAAATGGTCCATGAAACAAAATGGACCATTTCAGTGAGTGAAGTCATATTTGCAGATTTTTGCCTGCTAAGTTTGAATAGGTAGCATCCTAAAGTCTTCACAGGAACCTCGTGGTTTACTCATCAGACATCACGGGTAGCATCTCATTGGACCGAACCAGTTTCTGCCGTGCATCTGCCAAAAAGCAAGGGGGATCCGAAAGAAATGCTGTCAAGACCACTTGGCAAGTTGACTTGTTCAAGAGCCAAGGAGTCCACTTGGAAAGCAGACTCCTTCCAGAGACTGGTCGAATGAATCTCCACACGTCAAACTCTGAAGATCACGTGGCAGAGTCACTCCGTCCAGCTTCTGGTTGAAGTCTTTTCCAAATGTCAAGCTCCGAAGACCATTTGGCAAGGTCACTCCGGCTTCTTGTCAAATTTGTCGCCAAATGTCAAGCTCTGAAGACCACTTGAAACACACTCGGTTTAGGGTCTTGTTGAATGCATTTCCAAATGTCACGCTCGGAAGAACACTTGGAAAGTTGACTCCTTTCAGGTTCTGGTTAAACTCAAAGCCGAAAGAAATGCTGTCAAGACCACTTGGCAAGTTGACCCGTTCAAGAGCCAAGGAGTCCACTTGGAAAGCAGACTCCTTCCAGAGACTGGTGGAATGAGTCTCCACACGTCAAACTCTGAAGATCACGTGGCAGGTCACTCAGTCCAGCTTCTGGTTGAAGTCTTTTCCAAATGTCAAGCTCCAAAGACCATTTGGCAAGGTCACTCCGGCTTCTGGTCAAATTTGTCGCCAAATGTCAAGCTCTGAAGACCACTTGAAACACACTCGGTTTAGGGTCTTGTTGAATGCATTTCCAAATGTCATGCTCGGAAGAACGCTTTTGAAAGTCGACTCCTTTCAGGTTCTGGTTAAACTCAAAGCCAAAAGAAATGCTGTCAAGACCACTTGGCAAGTTGACTCGTTCAAGAGCCAAGGAGTCCACTTGGAAAGCAGACTCCTTCCAGAGACTGGTCGAATGAATCTCCACACGTCAAACTCTGAAGATCACGTGGCAGGGTCACTCCGTCCAGCTTCTGGTTGAAGTCTTTTCCAAATGTCAAGCTCCGAAGACCATTTGGCAAGGTCACTCCGGTTTCTGGTCAAATTTGTCGCCAAATGTCAAGCTCTGAAGACCGCTTGGCAAACCCACTTGGTCCAGGGTCTTGTTGGATGCATTTCCAAATGTCAAACTCTGAAGACTTCTGGGAAGTTGCTGCAAATACACACCAGAGTCGGTACCTTGTATCCTAATCACTCCCAGGGCGCGGTCTTCAGAGACTTGGAGTCCTTTGATGTAGCGCTGCGGCCTTTTCTACAATGCCTTGCCAAGAGCAGCGGCACTTTCTTGTGATGAAGTCGCTGCAACACTATCTGCACTTCATGACCCCGGAGTCGAGTCCCTCAGGATGAAGTTGCATTCCCCCTCATAGTCATCCACAACGCGAAATGCCAAGGAATTTTACTAAACTTATCTAAACTTCGGTTTGGTCAAACAAGCAAATTAAGTAAATAAAACAATCAGAATTGTGTGTTCGTCACTAGGCTGCTGGCCCATCCGTTGCAATGAACATATTCCCAATATCAAGGACTTTACGTGTGTAACACGTTTGGCCTGAAATCTGCTTAACCTGTACAAGAGCTCGACTTGGGTCAGATGAAACATTACAATTCTGAGAGAACCAAGCAGACATTAGTCACGATGTATGTTGTCTCTTGAAAAGGTAAGGGCTCCCTGACACCCCTCTGGCCTCCAAGAATGGGGGTTGAATGAATCCCTTCAGTAAGGATTGATGGGGTTGATTGCCCCTTAATACACATGTCGAAGCACCAATCAAGATTTAAACAGCCTACAATTGGTTTATAACCCCCAATTACCTATAGTTGTAACTATCATAAGCCAACTATAGTTGATTAACTATAGTTGTTTACTAATATAACCAATTGGTTTATTAACTATAATGGTTATTGGAGTTTTAATCCAACTGAGCTATCGTTGGGGGGTCCAACCTCTTGCAGCCGAGAGACGAGCAACGCCTGGAATATTCGGGTGCCAGCTGCATGGGAAGCCCCTAATCTGAACGCCCAACAGTTCCAGATTAGGCAAACGTGCAAGAAGAACCCATGAAAACTGCTACTTAATCTGTGATATCGCTGCCCCAAGCCAAAATAGGTAATTTCATTTGATGCATGTGATTTGTGTCAATCCATACGTCTTGTCAGTTTATGAATCACGGTGAGCCTCAAATATCATGTTTCATTGTCATAAAACTTGCATTATCATTTTGGACCGTCAAACACAACCTCACTACTCATGCGGTTGCCGGTAAACCTGTCCTGGCTGGTGGTGTCTGTCACGTTAGCCATTGGGGACCATCAACCCTACGGGGGGCAACGAGAGCATGTAGTAGGTGTGTGTGTGTATATATAAATAAATAAATACATATATATATATACAATAAATATATATATATATATACACAATAAATATATATATATACACAATATATATATATAAAAATAAATACATATATATATATATATAATACATATGTGGAGGTTTCCATGAATGGGGATCCCCAATAGCTGGATGGGTTATTTCATGGACAATCATATTAAAATTGATGATTTGGGGGTACCACCATTTCAGGAAATTTCCATATGATGTATATAATGTCAACCCCCCATTACACACTGTGTGGGGGGTACCATTGCAAGCAAACTACAATTATTTCAAAGGAACTCTCCAATCAGGTTTATTTCTACAGGTTTGACATTATAACATGTCATTTTTGGTTCAATCGAACCAATTCACCAACCCCCAAAAAAACATGTAGAACATTTTCATATACATACATATACAGTATATACACATGGGGTCATTTCATGACAAACTACCAGCCAAGCAGCTAAATCCCATCCCCAACGTTGCGACATCGTCACGCCTGTCCAATGGCGTTGTTGATCTTGTGCGCACCTGTGTGTGCCAGCTCCTCTCGCTTGAACCAAATCCTCGCTGGATCTGTCAACTGCTGTGGGGTCCCCCAATGATAACTCACAGCGGAACGTGGATGCGATCAATAAATATGAGAATTTAGGCCACAAACATGGGTTTGGGAGGAGCAACAAACATGGCAATTCAATGGTTTTTTTGGATTTAACTGGAGAAGTTGGTTGAAATCATTAGGCTAACTATGGTCTTATGAGATATCTATGCAAAACGTGGATTTGTAAACCAATTTGTTGTGATACAGAAAGGACTGGGAATATAATCAGCACATCTATTGGGGAATGCCGAATATCAAATGAGATATGGACATGAATATACATAATATGTATATTCATAACATGCATATACGAATAATATATATATATAATATCCATAATTAGTAACATGTATATATGTAAATACATATTAGTAAATGTCACCAAGAATCATCGCACATCAGCGGCAATCAAACCTGACGTATCAATCAGAATATGTTCTCAGTCGTCAATCACCATTGTCAATGGGCATTCTCAGCCACCATACATAATCCCATGGATGGTCTCATCCCCTTCACACAGAATCAATCCCATCAGGAAAAAACAGGCCAAATAGCTACTATTCAATGAGATTATAAGTACATACCACTAGTACCGCACAAGGCGGTGGCGGAAGTTTCAAAAATAGGAAACCTATAGGAGAGATTGGTTGTTGTGAATCACGGATGGCAGAGCGAATCCACTGATGGACCGAAAGGTGGTTGGAGCTGTGTTTTTTGGAGTGGCTGCAATGGTTGCAGTGGTCACCTCGTCGGTCACCTCACCCACAACTGCTGGATGTAGTGTGGTGTAGTGCAGCTGTAGTTGTAGTTGTAGTGTAGTGGAGTTGTAGTTGTGGTGCCGTGTAATTAGTGTAGTGTAGTTGCAGTTGCATTTGTGGTGGTGTAATTAGTGCAATGTAATGTAATGTAATGCAATGTAGGGTAGGGTAGTGTAGTGCAACGCAATTAGTGTAGTGTGGTGTGGTGTAGTGCAGTGTAGTGTGGTGTGGTGTGGTGTAGTGTAGCGTAGTGTAGTGCAGTGCAGTTTAGTGTAGTGTAGTGTAGTGTAGTGTGTAGTGTAGTGTAATTGAGTGTAATTGAATGTAATTGAGTGTAATTGATGTAGCGTAATTGAGTGTAATTAAGTGTGATTGAGTGTAATTGAATGTAATTGAGTGGAATTGAGTGCAATTGAGTGTACTTGAATGTAGTGTAGTGTAGTGGAGCGTAGTGGATTGTAGTGTAGTGTAGGGGAATGTAGTGAAGGTGTAGTTGTAGTTATTAGTTGTAGTGTAGTGTATTGCAGTGTAGTGTGGTGTAGTGGTGGTTGTAGTTGAAAATGCTCACCTTTGACAAAGTCCACAATCCCTTGCGCTTGCCAGGCGAAACGACATCTAAACGTCCGAACCCGTGGTGTTTTTCACATTTAAACTTCGAAATGTGCTTCGCGCCACAATGGCGTGCACTTTTTCGACATCTCAACTTCCAAAAGTGGTCCAAGAATGGTGTGCTTTGTACATTTTGACTTCGAAATGTGCTTCGCGCCAAAACGGCGCGCACTTTTTCGACATCTCAACATTCAACTTCCAAAACTGGCTCGAACCGTGCGGTGCTTTTAGCTTTTTCACTTGCAAATGTGCTTCGCGCCACAAGGGCGCGCACTTTTTCGTCATCTCAACTTCCAAAACTGGTCCGAAAGTGCGGTGTTTTTAGCTTTTTCACTTGCAAATGCGCTTCGCGCCACAAAGGCGTGCACTTTTTCGATATCTCAACTTCCAAAGCTGGTCCGAACGTGCGGTGTTTTTAGCTTTTTCACTTGCAAATGTGCTTCGCGCCACAACGGAGTGCACTTTTTCGACATCTCAACTTCCAAAACTGGTCCGAACGTGCAGTGTTTTTAGCTTTTTCACTTGCAAATGTGCGTCGCGCCACAACAGCGTGCAATTTTTCATCTCTCATCTGGACAGATGGCTCCGCACACGCCGCTTTAGCGAGCCTACTTTTCGACCCTCCGGAGCCACAAATCATTGGAAAAAACACAGTTTTTCGCGACTTTCCTACCTTTTCGCGCGCCTGCACCTTCTTTCTTCTGACTCTTTCTGTTCTCTGATCTTCTCTCTTCTTCTCTTCTCTTCTCTTCTCTTCTCCATTCTTCTGCTCCACCTCTGCTTTTCATTTGTCCATATTGTCGGAAGTTTGACTTCGAACCTTCCATTAGTACCATTGGTAATATTTTATTGAATAAACACTACTCGTACCAACATATCTACAGCCACCATTCCATGAGCCAGTCCGAACGCATTGAGCACACCTTGAAGTTTGGGGATTCAAACACGAGCATGGAAAATTAGGCAGTGGCCATGGATGCTGACCTTTGGGCCCACACGAGAGTTTCTTCTCCCAACTCCTCAGTCACGGTTTGATGGTTCCAAAAGCCACCGAGCGTTTTGACGAAGTCGATGCCCCGTGAGTCCGTCAACTTCTGCAGGCTGCACCTGCTCCTCAACTTCTGCAGCCTGCACCTGCTCCAGCTGAGCAGCAAGCGCCTCGTGCCATTGCTGCCCTTGCTGCATCATAGCGAACCATTGGTAGATCTGCTGATTCATATGGGCTTGCTGCTGACTAGCAGACTGAGTCGCATGAATATATACTGTTAAACACTAAATCATGAAATCTCCATGAAATTCTTGTCTTCAATAATCCCATGATAATCCCACCATTATCCCAGCATTATCCTTGATAATCCAAAGTCAGTATTGTCCATTATAACCCATTATTTTCCCACTATTATCCCATTTTAGTCCATGACTATCTATTATTATCCATGACAATACATTATCAATTATCCATGATAATTTGATGATCCACAAAGTGATCCCATGCTAATCATTATCCATTACACTCCATTACGCTCCCATTCATTATTATCCCACTAAAATCATCAATATCTGAATATCCAATATCATATCTATATCATTATGACGAGATTATCATATGATTATCCCACTATTATCCCATTCTTGTTTGCCTATGATTGTCCATGATCATCCCATTATTGTCCATGACAAATCCATGACTAATATCCACTGCTATGCTATATATAAATCCATTATTGTTCATGACAATCTATTCATTATCATCCCATCATTATCCCACTACCACGATCATCCCCCATATGATAATGATGAAGAACCATCAATAATTACTATCCCATTGAAATGCAATTATTATCCCCTTATTATCCCACTTTCATCCCCAATATTGAGATTATATTGATGAGCCATTGATTATCATCCATTATAGTCCAGTCTTATCCCATGATTATCCCATTGAAATCCCATAGTATTATCCCATTAATTATTATCGAAGGAAGTTTAGAAGTCAAACTTCCGACAATATGGACAGATGAAAAGCAGAGACGGGAAGAGTCAGAGAGAAGAGAAGAGTAGAAGAGAGAAGATCAGAGAAGAGAAAGAGTCAGAAGAAAGAAGATCCAGGTGCGCGAAAAGGTAGGAAAAGTCGCGAAAAACTGTGTTTTTCCAATGATTTGCGGCTCCGGAGGGTCGGAAAGTAGGCTCGCTAAACCGGCGGGTGCGGAGCCATCTGGCCAGATGAGAGATGAAAAATTGCACGCCGTTGTGGCGCGAAGCACATTTCGAAGTCAAAATGTACAAAGCACACCAGCTTCGGACAACTTTTGGAAATTGGGATGTCGAAAAAGTGCACACCGTTGTGGCGAGAAGCACATTTGCAAGTGAAAAAGCTAAAAACACCTCACATTCGGAACACTTTTGGAAGTTGAGATGTCGAAAAAGTGCACGCCGTTGTGGCGCGAAGCACATTTCGAAACCAACATGTACAAAACACACCATTCTCGGACCACTTTTGGAAGTTGAGATGTCGAAAAAGTGAAAGACGTTGTGGCGCGAAGCACATTTCGAAGTCAAAATGTACAAAACACAGCATTCTTGGACCAGTTTTGGAAGTTGAGATGTCGAAAAAGTGCATGCCGTTGTGGCGGGAAGCACATTTCGAAGTCAAAATGTCAAAACACGACATGTTCGCGCCACTTTTGGACGTTCAGATGTCGTTTCGCGTGGCAGGCGCAAGGGATTCTGCACCTTGTCAAAAGTGAGCAAACGTGAGGGTTTTGTAGCATTTTCAATTACAACCACCACTACACCACGCTACACTCCAATAGACTACACTACAACTACATCTTCACTACATTCCACTTCCGTACGCTACACTACAGTCCACTACGCTACACTCAATTACGCTCAATTACACTCAATTACACTCAATTACACTACACTTCACTACACTACATTCCACTACACTACACTACAACACTACACTACAACATTACACTACACTACATTCCACTACACTACAGCGACAACTACAACTACTAACTACAACTACAATACATTACATAACGCTACACTACGCCTACAACTGCACCTACAACTACAACTACGACTACACTACACTAATTGCATTGCACTACCCTACACTACACACTACACACTACACACTACACACTACACACTACACTACGCTACGCTACACTACACTAATTGCATTGCACTACACTACCCTACCCTACATTGCATTGCATTACATTACATTACACTCAGTACACCACCACAAATGCAACTGCAACTACACTACACTAATTACACTACACCACAACGACAACTCCACTACACTACAACTACAACTACAGCTGCACTACACCACACTACATCCAGCAGTTGTGGGTGAGGTGACCGACCAGGTGACCACTGCAACCATTGCAGCCACTCCAAAAAACACAGCTCCAACCACCTTTCGGTCCATCAGTGGATTCGCTCTACCATCCGTGATTCACAACAACCAATCTCTCCTATAGGTTTCCTATTTTTGAAACTTCCGCCACCGCCTTGTGCGGTACTACTGGTAATCCATTCATTAATTGTAATTATCCCATGATTATCCATGATTATTATCCCATTATCCCATTATCCCATTATCCCATAATTACTATCCTATGATTATCATCCATATCATCCATTATTACTATCCCATGATTATCCATGATTATTATCCCATTAAGATCCCATATATGGGTATGGGTCAAAATCAGGTACCCCAATAATTGGATGGTTAATACTAAACTAGACTAACATCTGTGGTCCCCTAGGTCTTCCATTTTGACCCACATCCATATATAAAATCCTCATCTGATCTAACCATAGCGTCTGCGCTCCGCCGCAGAACTCCGTGAGGCGCTTGGCGAAGTACAGCGGCGTGGGGCCACCGATGAAGTCGCGCCGCAGCCGCGCCAGCTCGGCCTTGAAGACCTGCCGTTGGTGGAGGGATTTCACCAGAAAAAATGATGCAAATATGGTTTCTAAACCAATCATCTATCAATATGTTATAGATAGTTTTCCATTTATAGATGGTTTTTCCATTCCCATAGGATCCATGGTGCTGCTATATATGGTGTGCCATGGATCCCATCAATATACCCAATGTTAGCATATATACCAGCACCATGGATCCTATGGGTTATGATTTAACCATCGTTTTTTGATGTTTAAAAATTGGAGGACATGGAGATTTCACCGCCCAAAATGGCGCAAAAAGGTGATTTAAACATATTCAAACCATAATTTAACAACAAAACATGGAGGAAATTGTGCAAGGAAAAGAATATGATTTGACGGGCAGAAATTGGAAATAGAGGATTTTACTGGCGCAGAACCAGCTGGGGTTGTTTGATGATTTGATCTGCAAACATGGGTCCCATTGGATTAGCAAACAAAGGATATCACGGTATGGGTATCACTAAAATGGACGATGAACCACTGGATTTTTGGAAGGGCAAAATGTGAAAAGACATGGGGGTTGAAGCCGGAAGAAGATAGAACAAATGTGGGTTGAGGATTGAAACAAAGGCGGTTGAAGCCTCTAAAAGTGGAAACTATTTCTTGATACATCCTATTAATTCCTATTATGTCTGGCATTGCGGCCACCAAATCTCTGATTTCAGAGATCATCCGAAACAAGTTGGGGGGATGCGCTTATCACCCTGAAACAGCACCAGCCATGTCTCCATGCAAGTTATATCTTATCTACTGACTAATTACTTGGTTTCTTCAAAGTTAGAATCCTTCATGCTATGTTTGGCTCCATTCAAAGAAAAATGCGGCAACCTACGAACCCATCTGAACCAGATTTGAGGCCAGTTCTGGCACTTTGGACCTGTATCCGCAGTCCCAACCATCATACGGGCCCAAGAATAAGGTACCCCCAAATAGTTTCCCAAGAGTCCACTGGCATGTGGTTGGGAAACTCTTAGTAGCTCTGCCATGCTCCGCAAACATATTGTACCCATAGCCCCGTATCTCTCCAACAGAATACAAATCCCACTTACAGTGCGGTCGCCGTGAAGTGGTTATAATTCATCCCGACATATTGTGGCTCTACATGAAAATCATTATGTGACATAATATGGTAATTGCACGAACATAATTGCTGATCGACAATTTATTTTGTTTACATTTTATCATGATTTATATGCATCAAAATTCATGAAAGGCAATAGTTCCAAGTCATATTAATTACCATTTTGGTTGCCTCAAATCGAAAAAAGAACTGGGGTCCAAGTTTATGTACGGAGCCCAGAAAGGTTTCCCCCCCAAAAAAATGGCCACAAAAACATCTCCAGGATTTCTGGCTAAAACTTTCGGCCATTTGGGGATGATTCCCCTTAATGTCAACCCTGGATTAATAAACCCCAAACGATTGTTTAATTGGGAGGGTACCATTAAAAAAAGTATCATATTATGACTATTGGAGGAGTACCCTAATTAATAAACCATGGTTTATTAATCCGGGGATGACATTACCAATCATCATTCCTGTGAGGTCACCAGAATTGTCCAGTGTGGTTAAGCATAGTTATGAGCCATGACTAGCCATCATATTAATCATAATTAACCACATTGATGATGTTTGATTAAGGTTAATGACCTAGTTAACCGTCATTATTAATCTATGGTCATTGAGCTATTGACCATCATTTTCACCAAAATTAACAATCATTAAGCATCATTACCTGGAAATGTTCATATGGTAAATTATGATTAATGGTTGATTAACTCATCGGGTTGGTGGTTGAGCCACCCCTCTGAAAAATGATGGAGTTCGTCAGTTGGGATGATGACATTCCCAATATGATGGGAAAGTCATCATCCAGCCATGTTTCAAACCACCAACCAGTCATGATTAGATGATCAGCCATAGTCCATTACCCTCTGGTAAACTAACATAACTGTGGAAAATCACCATGCTATTAATGGGAAAATATTTCAATGGCCATTTTCAATAGCTACGTTAAATTACCAGAGGGTAACCATATCTTATAAATGGAGGTTTTAATGGGAAAATCATCTATAAATGGGCCATCTATACCATGGCTATGTTAGTCATAACCATATCTTAACCATCTATGGCCCATGATTTTCCACTGATGCATCTTCCGGGCCGTGCTACGGGGTCGATCTTCCACTTGGCCCAGGCTTCTTCCAACTCGTGGTGGGCCACCATCAGCGTCTCCTGAGACCGGGCCAGGACCACCCGGGAAAAAAGGGCCAGGACCTGGGAAAAGACGAAGATCACCGGGGAAAATGGAGATTTTACCCTGGTTTACCAGGGACATGATTAGGAGATGATATGTTTACCAGAAGCTCTTGTGGATTTGTTCCAAATTGGGAGATCTTATGGATGTTATTAAGAACATTTGGAGTTGTTGACGTGATTTGACGAATCACAAAACAAATCAAACTGTAACCAGTCACCTACAAAAAGAATTCCATCGGGGATGTAAGCGTCATGGGTCGATAAGGACCTAAACAATCCCAGCCCTTCGAGAAGAGGATCTTCTCGAAAAGTGGGGGAATGCACATTAATCAATCTGGCTTTGTCATGAGCGTCATGGGCATGTCCCGAGATCTATAAATGGGTCTGAATCCCATTTTCCTTGTTGAACCAGCCACAAATAGTGGTCCACCTTCATCTATAGGGATACACCAGGTCATGAAAATGCCCTGGGCTGAAGTAAACCACCCTTCTCTGCATCCCCGATCTCATCTTGAAAGCATCTACATCGGAAACTGTCATCAACCCACAGCAGCTTAATCACTAATTCTATACTGCTATGCACCACAAATCTCCCCAATTTTTTAAGCACATTTCTGTTGGATTTTCCCATCATCCACCGTGAATTTCCTTCATTGGCCGAGGGGCTGGGATGAAACGACCACCGAAGACGGAGTTGCCAAAGTTCCACTTGTCCGCATGTTTCTTCCTTGCTGGAACTAGTGAGTGGCTGAATCTTGGAAACCAACAAAAAAAATACTGGTTGATGGTATACCTACCCCTCTGAAAAATATGAACGTCAGTTGGAATGATTCTTCCCATTATATGTAAAAATAAAAAATGTTCCAAACCACCAACCAGCATAAAAACCGGTCTATGTTACGATGTTGATGTATTTTCTTAGCCGAATATGAACTGGGTATGTCTGAAAATGGGGTATACCCCCAATTATAGCCATTTAGTAGGGATAATGACCAGCAAAACCATTGGGTGTAGGGGTACACTATTTTCAGACAAACCCAACTAGTTCCAGGGTCATTTGAGTTCCAAGTTTCTTGGCTCCGGCTGATGATACTGAGCCAAGTTTTCCCAGGGGATATCGACGGGTGGTGACATGATCCTGGAGGAGAACATCACCCAAAGCACTGGAGGAATCACTACCAATAACCATATTAAGATGGTTTTCTCAATAATTTGAGGTGATGGTTTTTCAAATTTATTGAGAAATAAGATAGAGGAATCCATCTTAAATTATTGAGAATATATGGATGGTTTTTCAAATAAGATAGAGGAATCCCACACAATCCAAACTCACTCTTGTTTACGTCACATGTTCCCAGCATTTCCGCATCGTTTTCCCCTAAAAATCCACCAGATAGACATTTTCGGCTGGATCGACTTGGTCGTCGCCAGGCTTCAGGTTGCATAGTGCGGATACCCCCTGTAACCATCAACCCATCATCCTAGTGACTAGTGATATCACCATGAATTTGACGGTTACCAGCCTATTACAACTAATATGGTCAAGCCACATTAAAAAAAAACAAACGTCATGAAACTGAAGTCATTTACCATTTATAGATAATCAAATCATATCCAACGTTAATCGCATCTTGTTGATGGTTGAAACCACTGTAATTAAATGAAACCCACATCAAAAAAACAACTCCAACTGGAGTTTTTCCCATCCTTGTCACAACCTTTTCAGGGCGAAAAAAACGCCGACCGCAACCAAGTGGCTGTTGCTCCAAGTCCGCGGCTGTTCGCTGGCGCTTGGCTGGTGGCTCAACCTGTAGGTGTGGAAGGAATGTGGATGATGGATGGATCTTTTATCAACAAGAATATGTGGATTTAACCATGAAACATCCGGATCTCTAACATTTATATATCTATAAGTGTTGCACATGGGTCAATCATGGGAATATCATGGGGATATTTGTGGTAGATACTAGGATATTGTTAACACGTATTATATTTCGATGGGGAAAGTGCCAACAACGATAGGGCCTTGACCTGAGCCAGCTAGATGTTCAAACGCAGACGAAACTGCTTTCCAGGATTCTAAGTTCTAAACAGACAGAAATGGGGCTTTCACCTAAAAAAACAAATATTACTCACCAAAAGTAACTAACTGGTAAAATCTCACACTTGGAATATCCAAAGGTCACATGACCTTTTTGAGGTTCCTTTCTCTGGAGGATCCGTCGTGACTGTGACAAATGCTACCTCCAACCATGGACTTAAAGTTCACTTTTATCACAAGATGTCATGATAATGTATTCATAGTTATCATTTATCTCTCAAAGTTTAGTCAAACGGTGACCAATTAATCAATTGGCCTGCAAAGAAGTCAATAATCCGTAAGGTTATGGTTACCTTTAGGTCATTTAAATGATCAGCTTATCAGATGGTCAATTCTCCTGGCTATGAGCATAGCAGGTAGAGTACCAAGATGCTGACCATCGAGTTTTGGATGATGAGTGCATCAAGCAAATTATGTCTTTTTGCAACCCCCAAAAAGCTTGAAATTCCATGAAATTCCCATAAATTCCCACTAGCATAGGCATTATTTATCACTCTCCTATATTTTTTGGGTGGTTACATGGGGTTACATTGTTACTATATGTTACTATACCCATGGTTTCCCCAAATTTGCCTCAACAAAACTATGGGAACTTCAGGGAAACATCCAGTCCGTTGCTGTCGCAACCCGCCAAGACGATCCAAGACGTGCCTTTTCGCTGGTGAGGGCCAAAGGTCCACCGCTCAACTTGTTCACCAAAGCACCAGCCTTGGCAATGTTGGGATATGGGGTTTCCATAAATGAGGCTTACCCCCAAATGGATAGTATATGGATAGTTTACAATGAACACTCAATCTGATATGATCAAGCAATTTAATTTGGAACGCTTGGAATGTAGGCAACAAAAAAGGGAACGTATCCAGCACAGACATGGCCAAACAAAATATGGACATTGACGGACGCAACAGTCGTGACCAAGACTGAAGAAATGCTGGCGGTACCAACCTGCGATGCAGCCATCCGACAATTATTGACAAGGAGTCACCATAGATACACCAAGACACGCCAAGTACTTCTGGGCAGATATACATACGGTACGCTACATGCCAACAAACAATAGGACGTACAAAACCCTGGAAGTCCAAGGACTCAAAAAGTATGTCCTCATGAATATCTGTAGAAAGTGGACCAAAAAAGTACGTCCATGCCTGATACATCATGATGTACCTTTTGAGGTCCCGGACCTCAAAAGGAACATTGCTATATAGCATCCTTAATCGTGAGTAATCGTGAGTAATTACTCGTGAGCAAGACCCTAAAAGGTACACATAGCGGCTCAAAAGCGCGTGAACATTGCTATAAACCCTCGGCCGTAGAACCCATGACATTGCTATATTTGCTATAAACCCTCGGCCGTGGAATCCAACAACATTGCTATAAACGCTCGGCCGTAGAACCTCGGCATTACTATGGTTTGTCGGCGATGATCCTTTTTTGTGTCACTTGCGGCAAGGACTCAAAAAGTATGGGCTTAGGACTTTTGGAGAAAGGTGTTTTCAACGCCCGCAGTGTTCCAATACCGCACGCCCAAGTGACTGCTGCGACACCACCCTTACCAAGCTCCTGGAGTGATCGTGACGCTTCAGCTTTGGTTTCAGCAAAGGTTTCAGCAAAATCAACGATGTCATAATTTTGGAGATGTTATGGTGTCATCAGTTTTCCCATTGACGTTTGCCAATCCTTGACGTATTCTTGATGGGAAAACTCATGATACACACAGAAATTCAAACATGTTTAAACACATTTCTAGATGGCATGCGCCCGGATGCATCAAATGACTTGCTGGGGCAAATGTCCTAGAAGAAATCAGATGAGATGAGGATTGAAGATATTGAAGTAGTTCAATACGATTTTCCGGATGATGCAATGGTTCACTGCAGTGACTCGGCCACTCTTCGAGGGGACCCCCGGCACGGCATGGCATGGCATGGCATGGCATCGTTGGCTCCTGGATGATCCTGGAGCCCACCACACAGCCATCTGCGAAGGCACCGAACTCCTGGCGTCGACTCTGTTGGGTTTTCCAAGGCTTGAACGTTAATCTTCATGAGTGGTTTCACCATGTTTTATTGGAATTCATTTAAGTTAACCCCTATAGTTCTAGCATAGCAATCTCCAAAAATATAGAAAAGTGTTTAACTGGGATTTTATAGATCATATATGATCATATTTACTCGAAAAAATATCCAGGGTTCCCCACGTTTCTACCTTTTTTTTTCGGCTTAGCGCCCAAAGTCCAATCAATCTGTACCACATCCTCCTGAACAACTCCCGTCCCCCGAAATCCCCGATATGTCCTCCTGAAATCCAGAAATCTAGATTAGCTGCATGGCAAAACCATGCAAAATTTTGTGCAACAAGAATCATCTAAAACCATCTAAAACCCCTAAACATCCTGAATTTCCCCATTCTTCCAGGTGACTTCATGGCGAAGCTCCCCGTTTAACGTGTTTCGATGGCTCGATGGCCTTGGCCCCGGCCGCACCTCCACGTGCTTTCGCTCCGAGATGCCAAAGCCGACCACCACAGGGAGCTCAGCGCCCAGCCTGACTCCAACAGGTCACGTTTTTACTGGAGATGTTACCATGTTCTTGGTGGTGCAATAACCATCATTCAGCATTATTACCTGGAAATCTTTATGGTAAATTATGATTAATGGTTAATTAATTCATGTTACCAGGTAAATACTGGAGATGAGTACCCCTAAATAACCCTGGCTAATATAGAAGTCCTCATGGGTTATCCAAAGGGAGTACAAGTATGGTCTGGTTGGTGGTATACCTACCCCTCTGAAAAATATATGAGTTCGTCAGTTGGGATGATGACATTCCCAATATATGGACATGTTGCCGCCCTCTGGTAATTTAATTTAAGAATTTGCTATAGAATATCACCAGTTTTAAGTTCGGTAAACCATCTATTTCTATGGGCCATGTTCCATAGCAAAATGTTAGTTTACCAGACGTTACCAGGTAAATACAAACTGTCAGTTTACCAGATGTTACCAGGTAAACACACATAATGAACTAGCATGTAATAAACTATGATGTTAGTAGATTGTAATTTATAATTACTAGTGAAAATATATTACTATTACTATTACAGTAAAATAGATATGTTACCAGGTAAATAAACACAATAAACTAGTATGTTAATAGATTTTGTAAGTAAACAGTATAGTGGATAGTATAGTATAGTTAAGAAAAATAAACTGGATGTTGCCATTTGGTAAATAAATTATGTTAGTGGGTAAACTACCATAATAATCTACAACAATAAAGTATACTGTGTCAGTAGATTATAATTAGAATTATAGTGATGCAATATATTCTGTTAGTATTATTAATGACAACTCTAGATTAATAAACCCCGCTGTTCAATTACGGGGGTACCATTTAAGTATTATGATCACTATTTGGGGAGTACCCCCCTAATTAATAAACCATGGCCATGGCTTCTTCATCCGGGGCTAACATTATTATCATATGATATCCTTGATATCATATGCAGAGTGATAACATGTCTATACATGGATGTCATAAATCATAATGACTCATAATTAATATATATATATATAAGTAGTTTTATGATGTTTCTTTGCATGAAACACATAATTGGCAGTTTGTACATGCTTCGTACTAACGGGTTCTGTTGACTGGGGGTGAGTTTGCCATGGTTGTAGTATAGTCGTTTAATGGTATACGCGACTGGACAAATGGGCCAAGGGAACAGGCGAAACATTCACAAAGAATGTAAACACGACGTGAACTGCCGTACTTTGTGGGGTTGATACATCTAATTAAGATGATCAGGCCTGGGCCTCGACTATTTTCAGCAACACCTAGGTTTTCTATAGTTGTCAGAGACAATTCTGTAGACTCAAACCATGTTGAGATGCCAAAAACCCCCAAACACAATGACCCAGTCATGTAGGATGTTCCTCGGTCCGTCGGCCAGTGGCTTTTTTTTGGGTGTGATAAAAACATGTTTCAGCCGCCATCCCAAAACATCCCAAAACGAACAAAGTCTGTTGTGATAGTCATATATACCCTCTGGCTATGACTAACATAGCCATGGAAAATCCCCAAAATAACTGGAGGTTTATAGCTGGGAAAATCATCTATAAATAGGCCATGGCTTCCATGGCTATGTTAAATAACCAGAGGGTAATCATCCCACCCAAGATGGAACATGCAAAATCATTGAAACCACGCAGCAGTTGAATTATCTTGAATTCCATGGCTTCATATGGGATAGTATTATAGTATAACCCCTACTCCAGTGATGAAATCGATGAAATCCTGATCGTTGATCATAAAAAGTTCGGAACAATGGCTATTAACCATCATTAAGATTATGGATCTCCAAAGTTTTACAGATATCTAGAAATGGTCTAAAATGGTAGGATCCCCAAAACCAATGTTGGATCCATTTGGATACCCAAAATCTATTGGCGCTGTTAATTTTTGTTGCTTCCTCACGTCGCATCTTTCGCAACCCGTCGCAACTGAAAGACCCTGGGCCCAGGTGCTTCTTGGCTGCATCTCGCACCTCAGCGTCTTCCGGGTCTTTCACAGGACCTGAAAACAAGTGGATGCTACTTGTTATCAACATATGAACATAATATTTGTTAGAGGTTAACTGTATACATATTAGAACATCATATCAATAGTGGAACTTCAATTATATTAATGTTTGTATAGCTTATTTTCTACATATTAACATATTATCTACCATATATCAAGTGAGTAATTCTTCGTTGCTTTTTGCAGTACTTGTTTGGAGACATCATTACAATGGTGGAACATCCATGAATCCATGAGTGTGTATAGGAGTATACAATTACCATTATTTCCAACCGTTTCGAACAATGCCAACCAATTTTGGCTGCTTTTCGTCCTGCTTGTTGTCCTATGTTTGTTGGATATCTACCTTGACAAACAGGAAAAGAAAGTAAAAACAACCGTGGAAGACTTGTTAATCAGTCAAGCATATCAAGCCAAAGTTTGCACTGTGTGCGGGTACATTGCACCATGAAACAAAACTGCCATTTTCGTGGCGAATCCTACTAATTTGCAGCTGGGTTTAAGAGATCTCCTATGACCTCCTTTTATCATCCTTTATCTGGGTATATGTTAAATCATTGTCAATTTTGGCTGATTTATCTGCGATCTGCCAAATCATAATGAATATATATAATATGTGTTTCTTTTTCCGAAGACCATGTTCCCGCATTTTTTTCGCAAGCGCCCAGCGTCAGCCAAAAACTGAACCAAGAAACCGACTCCACCACGGCCTGTGAAATCTGTTAAAGACATTCATGCAGACTGCGGGCTCTTTCCTAACTTTAAGCAGCAAATAACCAAAGTATGTTATTTTGGTTGTTTTCACTAAAAACCTGGAAATTGAATTCAATGAATCGTATTTTTTTTGACATATTCCAGATAGATTCTCATATTTCTCATGAGTTTTCCCAGTTTCATGGATCAAGGTTCACCCGCCAAACTGTTTCGGTTCAACCACCATGGATCGCCGGATAAACCATGATACGTCCATTCCCATCCATTCCCCCAATTTCGGTTGCTTGGCTCCCCATGGTTTTTCTCGGATGAAAAATGGGGCATCCCCATGACTTCGGCAACCTCGCCTGGCATTCCTTGAGACGATTGGCCTTGGCCTCTGCCTGTTCGCTTTCCCTGGTGCCTGTGACGCCCAACAGGGACACTACCTGAGCGAAAAACCGGGTGTCAACGGCCTCCATTGACCGGTTCTCAAAAATCCATTTCCATGCTTAAGTAGCTTTCCTCAGGAAGGTGGTTGACTATTGCTTACGAATGCTGATGATGGATACATCTTGTCTGTCTTGATAAAACTCATTCCAAACTATGGCCTGGTTGGATAATGTTAGGAATGTCCATGAAGGTTGAGTTGGATGGCTGGTATGATCTGTTTATTGAAGATAGCTAGTTCGAAAATGGCCCATCTAGTTCGATGATAAACATGATGATCTAGCATAGCAATGGATGGTGATGTTCCAATTCGGCAACCGTTAAATCAACAGAGAGTATATCCCATTGTAATCCACTGAAAAATCAGGAATTCTGATAGGTAAATCATCATGTTTATCATCCAGGGACATGTTCGATATGTTCAATAAACAAATGGTAAAATATCCATGATGGGCCATGTTCATCCATTGTCCATCTGGTTGGTGGTATACCTACCCCTCTGAAAAATCTGAGTTCGTAAGTTGGGATTATGACATTCCCAATATATGGAAAGTCATAAAATTCCATGGTTCCAGTCACCACCAACCAGCCATTTTCCATAGGCTGAAACTTTCACTCATCAACTGCCCAGTCCTCCAGTACCCAGGCGCGTAGACCATGCCGGGTGTGGGATTGATGGCTGCTTCAGCCACCTTTTGAAAAACGCGAAAGGTTCCCAGCAACTGATGACCTTCTAGTGAGTAAAAATAAGCAACGGATAATATCATATTTATGCACAATATGTGCAAATTCTTAAATCATATAGTTATAATATATAGGTGTAGAATGTGAACAGATGTATATAAGATGACTTCTGATCTTGCAGTTATGAAATGTTATGAACCTATAGTGACTTTTGATATACTTGCAAGATCTAAGATCACCAAGTTGAGGCTATTGCAGAAATGTCCAGCGCAAGCCAAAATCACCGATGTTACCACTAAGAGGACATGCGAACTGAGTTTCCGGGGGTCAACCAATAGAAATGCAGGGGCACACATCCTGAAAAATCTCTATACATTGCACATGTTCTGGGAAACGACTGGATGGGAGATTCAAATAACGAGTTTTACCAACCCTTAAAGGTGGCCCCATCAGAACTTACCCATATGGGAACTAAGCCTCTGGGATCACCTATGGCATGATGGAGACGCGTATGAAATCATCAAATGTGACCCATGTTTCCCAAACTGCTACCATAACCAAAGTGAACCCACCTATTTCAACATCTTCAACACATTTACCTCTCAGTAAATGCCCAAATTTTGGTTGAATCACCGTTTCTGGGTGCTTTCTTCTTGATTTTCATGGCTACCCTCTGGTAAACATACAAAAAACTATGGAACATCACAATTTTTCATGGGAAAATCCACTATAAATGGCCATTTTCAATAGCTATTTTGACATAACCAGAGGCTAAAATCGAGCGCAACTTCGACCACACCAGGACCACTCGGCTCGGCCTGCTGGATGCGCTCCAGTCCACTGGTGGGCGACGCCAGCGGCACGAGGCTCAGATTGTGCTTGGCGGCGGCGGGGGCCATGATCTGAGCGGCAGCTGTTTTAAAGAGCTAAAAGAAGGGTGAAACATGGTCATTGATAGTTGACTTTTCCATTAAAAATGGTGATTTTCCATAGTTATGTTAGTTTACCAGAGGGTATGTCTCATTTACCAGAGGGTGAAAAATGGTGAAGAAACCTACCCTCTGGTTATGACTAACATAGCCATGGAACATGGTGGTTTAATGGGATTTAATGGGATATACCCTCTGGTTATGTCAAAATAGCTATTGAACATGGTCATTGATAGTTGATTTTTCCATGAAAAATGGTGGATCTTTCCATAGTTATGTTAACGTTTACCAGAGGGTATGGGATAATCATGAGATAATCATGGGATAATAATCATGGATAATAAACTAAGCCAATGGCTAAAAAAGGAACATCTGAAAACATGGTGAAACATTCATGGACATAATTCATAATGGTGAATCAATGGAGGTATAAACTTTGGAAACCGATTGAAATCAAGAAGATGATCTCGGATATTCAGATGTGTTTCAATTTCTTAGGGAAAACTGTTAAGGAAACCATGGTTTTACCATCAAAAAAATGGTTCTCCCAAAGGTATTGGGCAATTTGAGTCAGGCAATATTGAATCACGGGCTGTAAATTGCCATCTCCAGGCGTAAAGGCGTCATCCTTCTGGTGGAGAACTGCAGTGCGTATTGTCTGTTGACCCAATGCCTTCCATGGGCAAAATGGTTTTTGGCCTTGGCGCCTTCTCTTAGATGTTTAGCTGTGAAGGATTCGGAAAACCTGACAGCCTCCTCCCCTGATGTAATCATAATTTCACAACATGATAAGGGATATTGAGATACCAGATTGGTGGATTGGTTTCTGGACCATTTATCATTGAACCTATAGAAAATTACTCCAAATACACAGTATATATATATTATACCATATATCATATTTCATTATATAAAAGAGTTTCTTGCAAACTGTCCCTTCCACCAATCCCCGGAGTCTCCCACGGTTTGAAGCAACACGCGAAAAACGTGCGCCGCGGGTGGTTGGTTTCAAATTGAAAACTGGTCTAGTTGGTGGCTTCATCCAGTAACTGGCTATTGAAGTCCCCGGCTTGGCAGGTGAAACTCCAGACTTGGACAATGACAGTGAGCCCGGAATCGTCATGCCTAACTGCTCTTTTTTCCTCTATGAATGGATGATCACAATACATTTAAGCGTGCTTCTCATTGAGGTATCAACAATCCGACGTTTTCTCCCTTGTCAAACATGATTAATGGATTGGTTTAAGGGAAAATCTTAACCGGAAACCCATGGGTTTTTACCATCAAATTGGTTGGGTTTTCCGGTTAAAATGTTCCCATCATCCAATTCTATGAACATGATTGTCATGCAGGGTAAGAACTTGAGGTCCCCATGAATGACACTCCGATGATCATGGGGATTTTGAAGGCCAAAGGTGACCCAAAAAACCTTGGGGCTAAGAGGATTTGTTTTCTCCAACAGACTGGAAATGCCACCAAAACAGGGCATTTCCAGTATCTGTTGGAGATAAACAAATCCTCTTTCCAGTAGTCAAAGCAATTTCATCATTTGCCATCATTTGCCAGCATTTGGCATTTGGCATTTTGTTAACAAAAAACCATGATCAATACCTCTGGTAATTTAACGTAGCTATTGAAAATGACCATTTATAGTGGATTTTCCCATTAAAAAAGGTGATTTTCCATAGTTATGTTAGTTTGCCAGAGGGTATCACAAATAACCATCATTTGCCAAGCCCCGTCAGGACAAGTCAGAAGCAAATTGTTCCAAGAGTCTCTCCAAGATTCCTCCACTGGTAGATCCACAATGATGAAGCCATCAATCCCTGCTGCTGAGCACTCCTGCGAAGCGTTTTCCGGAAAATCTGGGCGTATAGGGATCGAAAAGAACCACAACAGCCCCAGAAATATGGGCCGAGCAATCTTACATACAGACTTGACTTTTACAGCTATTTGTGGCTAAGACATCTTGCACAAATCATTTGAACCATGAATTCTCGAGCAGAAACATGTTGATGTTTATCTTTCTCTCACGGATTCCGCGTTCCGCACTCCTTGCAGGTTTCTTCACATCCAGCTGCTAGGAAGGAGTTGTAATAGCCCATGAGCAGCAAGGGAACCTTGAGCCCCTTAGCACCTGGGAGTGAGTTCAAAGATTAGGAAATGGGGTCTGATGATGATTATCGTATTGCAACCCACTTCCCGACCATAGCTACGTCCCAAAAAAAACACCGGACTGGGTTTTCAACTCATCCCAAAATCACGCCTGCTACTTCTTGATACCTTTAAGCAATCATCACAGCTGTTCGCCGGAAAATACCTTGAGCATTTGAAACCATCAACTCGGGTCCTTTCAATCCGCGTATCCCGTCAGCTCTAGCCTGACACCAGCCATTCCAAAAACATATCTGTACACAGTATACAATGTGAGGCCCAAGATCAAGTTGGACTATCAACCAATGAAGCCATACAACTATATCTACTGTACCACAAGCCATGGTAAACAAAAAACAACTTAGCTGCGCAGGGCGGGCCACTTTGTAAGAATGATTCATTTTCGGGCCATGGGCTCTTCAAAACAAATGTAATCTTATCTTCCACAAATGTAAATTGTGTACCTCAGAAACTTCAATCATTCCATGTAATTACCAAAGCTGAAGTATTATTTCGCCAATATATGTTTGAACCATTTAGTTCCATGGTTTACAAATGAGATTGGATAGTGAGGTAATCACAACAATTTCAGCGGAGACTTCAGCAGTTCAGCTATGTTCAGCTCCCAGGTGCGTGCTTGTCTAGCGAAGTCGATGACATCTGAGTAAAGGGTGCCTGGGACGCGCGCGTAACGCGCAACATGCAATCTGAACACAGAGATCGCCTCTGGTAAATTGTTACAGTTTGACCCTGATTTTATCACCAATTTTTAGAGGAAACTCATCTTCCAACTCCGATGACTACCAGGGTCGAACTGTTAATTTACTGGAGGGTAAGCACAAATTGGTTGGACATGATCTGCTAGTTGGATTAGGAGAAGACGACACTGTCGGACAAACCCCTGGGGTAGCACTGAACAACGACAAGGGCCAGTCCAAGGGGAAATAGTATCAAGTCAAAGGATGTTCCGATACAGATACTGTAATCGGTGTCCCCAGTTTGTGGTTACACTATCATGTTAGCTACAATATATATATATATATATATATCCACATACATATTGCTCCATGATATTGCTCCATGTGCATGGATTAAACATATTTAAGTGCCAAACACGACCCAGTTTCTGGGTCCAACATACACATACATAAAATCTCATATACATAGTATTGTGTGTATAATACATATATAGATATATATATATACACATACACAACGTATACACATAATATCATGATATTATATATTATACATGCTATAGGATTTTCGATTATAAACCATCCAGCTATGGGGTACCCCCATTAATGGAAAACCTATATATATATATATATATTTAGATATCATGTATCATACATTAGATACTGTGTATATATATATATATATTCAATGGATATTAGTGTAATATATCCATAATGGTTGGTGGTTTCTCAGTTGGGATGATGACATTCCCAATAAATGGAAAAATAAAAGCCATGTTCCAAGCCACCAACCAGATAAGGGATATTGAGAAACCTGATGGGATATCACCAGATTTGGTGGATTGGTGTCTCGATCATATATATCTATATATTCTATATATATATATATATCCATAGTATATTATTGAATACTATTGAATATTATTGAATATTATTGAATATGAGTGATTCTTCCCAATATATGGAAAGTCATAAAAACCATGTTCCAAACCACCAACCAGATATTATTGAATCTTATTGAATATCCATTACCATCTGGTTATGACTAACATAGCCATGGAAAATCACCATTTTTAAGTTCGGTAAACCATCTATTTTTATGGGCCATCTATACCATGGCTATGTTAAATAACCAGAGGGTATCTGACTAGTAAATTGAATATCCATATATATTCCAATATCCTTTGTATCAACCATTAATGGATATGAGTGTAATATATCCACATCATCGAACCAGAGGGATATGATTTGTTAGTTGGATACATCTACAGTTTTTCGTCAACTGAACCATCTACAGTAAAAACCATCCCACCATCCCAACTTAGTTGGAACCATCGTTGGTTGAGTCTACATGATATCCATTATATCCATTAGATATTAGTGTAATATCTCCACATTATATCACTGAATATTAGTGTAATATATCCATTATATCCACATAATAATAATAATATCTTGAGGGGTTACTTCCATATGGTTTCTTTACCTTGGGTTTCCCAATGCCCGGTCTACGAAAACCAGCCGTTTTTCTTGCGGCGCGCTGTCGACGCTCCCCGCCGCTGAGCGCCGCAATGTCCACACCACCTGCGCTCAGACTCATCGAGGATGGGTCTTGCAGTTGAAGAGCTGTGGAAGTTGTGGAGATACTGAATCAGAACACCAGAAAAAACTGGGAAGCTTGACTGTCCTACTCTACCCCAATCTGGTTTATAAACTCCATTAGCCAATTCGATATACATACATACATATATACACCATTTTCAAGAAAGATGGCTCGGCCCACTTCCAAAGTGCGCGTATAGATGGCGCCGACTTTTTGAATTTTGACACCCGAAAAGGGCATGAAATCCATTCCCCTTACTTTTGTGGGCCGCGCCATCTATGCCAGAATGTGTTGCCAATGTGTTTCAGGGTTGCGCCATCTATGCAGGGATTCTTAAGTCCAAAGTTTCCAAGCCTCCGCAACATTCACCCAGTCGGTTGCGCTCGATTTTTTCTCTTCCCTTTCTCCTTCTCCTTTCCCTTTCCCCTTTCCTTTTCTCCTGTCCCCTTCCCTTTCTCCTTTCCCTTTCTCCGTTCCCTTTCTTCTTCTTTGTTCTCCTTTTTTCCTTTCTCCTTTCTCCTGATCCTTTCTCCTTCCCCTTTCCTTTTCTCCTGTCCCCTTCCTTTTCTCCTTTCCCTTTCTCCGTTCCCTTTATTCTTCTGTGTTCTCCTTTTTTCCTTTCTCCTTTCTCCTGACCCTTTCTCCTTCCCCTTTCCTTTTCTCCTGTCCCCTTCCCTTTCTCCTTTCCCTTTCTCCGTTCCCTTTCTTCTTCTTTGTTCTCCTTTTTTCCTTTCTCCTTTCTCCTGACCCTTTCTCCTGCCCCTTCCCTTTCTCCTTTCCCTTTCTCCGTTCCCTTTCTTCTTCTTTGTTCTCCTTTTTTCCTTTCTCATGAAACTCAGACCCCAGGTTTTCATCCTGCGCAAGAACTTCACTATTTCATTTTCATGAAACTCAGGCCCCAGGTTTTCATGAAACTCAGGTCTCTTAGATTTTATGTCAGTGATTGTCCCCTTTTTGTGGTTTTGGATGGATAGGGCAATTCAGGCATCAACATTCCTTGAATTGGGCAATCCGTCCTTTGGGGGGTCATTACAATTCCAAAAAATTATCATAACCCCGAAAAAATATTGTCGCGGATAATATCCAGCAACCAAGCAATCTAATCCCCTGGGGGGTGTCCTAAACCAATTTTTAGTTAAATGGAGGTGTGCATTGAAGTTGCGAGGCATGGAGCGGTTCGCTCCCTCCATTTACCCAAAATCGGTTGATTAATATATGAGTATTCATAATTATCTGTATAATACAATATGATAAAAATATATTTGTAACATGGCACAACCCCCAAAAGGGGCTGTGCAGAAATGCTGGAAGCATCTACAATAAAATAAAACCATCAACACATTGAATGTGTTACCCGCTATTAAACTTCCCACCATTAGGATTATCAAAACTAGGCACTACAATGCATACAGTCATAGAATAAGCTACAGTAAGGAAGTGGAGCACTTCTCAGCCATCAATACCTGAGCCCATCACCGTGCTCCAAAGTTTTTTCGGAGACGAGGCTGAGATCACCTGGGATACAGGGAACCTTCCTGACACAGGGTCCACCTCAACCCAAACGATAGGGAGGCAATGTGGCCCCGTTTCCCGGAGACGTTATGTGAAGTCACTCAAGCCACTCATCAAATCATCCAACTGATATCCCAGGCAGCCATTGGAAATTCTCCGACTTTCGATTTCTCATGATTTCTCCATATTTCTCCTCATATTTCCCCAGTAAAGATCCTTGGTGGCGACGTCCCAACTGGGAGGACCCAGTTGGCCGATGCCACGGCACTGGCACTGTAAGATCCCTTCGAGAGCATGTCAATAACCTCCACAGGGATCCTGCGGATGACCCGATCCAACGGTCCAACAGTCCAACCTGGAAGATCATCTTTATGGATATATCCATCTGTAGCTGTCCTTTATGTACATGCGTACGTATTTATATGTGTATATATACACCAGCGTAGCCCAAAGTGTGGGAATTGTAGCCCCGCGAGAGAAAAGGGCAAAATTCCGTGGATTCTCACCCATCTTTGGTTTTCTCCGCTAATTCTCGCCCATCCGGCGGATTCCCACATAACTCCGGTATGGACCTCGTTTTTTGCTCATGTCTCTGTGTCCAGGCGTTGCTTCAGCAATGTCATGTACAAGTCATATGTCCGCTGTATAGTGGCCTTCGGGCTCACTCTGCGGCTCAAACGGGACACGACCCCTATGAAAGACTCATCCATCTGGGTGCTGTCACAAAGGGGGTTTTCTATCCAATCATGGTCGTTGGACCACAGCTGCAAAAAGCGGAAAGTATGGATGAGCATATGGTTCTTACTATGAATGGGGAACCGCGGCTGCCGCTGTGACAAAGACAGTCGAGCGCACATGTTGTAGGCACGCAAATGCAGCAATATCGACAACACATAACTTGCCGTCCACAAGTTCCAAACAAAGAAACAATTCTTTTAAAGGAGACTGCCAACTTAGGGCTTCAGTCCTCCAACAGTTGGCGCAGACTATCGCCAGCAACACAAAGAAGCCCAGCGGGTTGGTATTTAGCAGAACCCAGATCACTAGCCTCAGTGTGGACCAGTGAAACTTATGGAACAAATTTCTCGGCTGTGGCCAAAATTTAAACCAAGAAACGGTAGACCTGCTGGGCTACCAAGATCGAAGGCATTGTGCTGGCTCACATGCACAGTGCATACTTGATGTCCAGCTGCGCCGTGGCCACCAGACCATACCGAGTTGATTTTCCAACATTGCCGTCCCCAGCAAACAGCTCCACACATGTAAACGCCTGCAGGGATCCCCCTTGAAATTCACCCCAAAGGGTCAAGTCCAGCATGTTGTAGCTATAAACCGCATTTTGAAATTGCTACATTGCTACATGATAGTGATTTTATGCCTAAATCATCATTATTATTGCTCTTACAATATGGCTGGCAAGGTGCAGGTAGGCTCCCTACAAAATTGCCTCCGAAATGGGCCTTGAGGCGTTTCAGATTAGTACACGCTACAAAAGGGCTGGGCTAGGGAAAGCGATTTCCTACAAAATGACCTTAGAAATCGGGCTTATATGGGCCTTGAGGCCAGCCATTTCATAGGGGACATGTCAACGGGGATCTGCAGGGCATCTCTATGGCTTCAAAAAAACGGCAACTACGACAGCGACAGTGGTTTGATTTCCCAAATCGGCCTTGGGCACTTCCGGCATGCCCCGGTGGTAAAAGGTCAGTTTGACCAACCACACGAATGCCTGCAAGGATTGTTTCTTGCCAGGGCTTAAGATCAAAGACAAAAACGGTCATTCTGTGTCCAAGCATTTGCCTTGGGAAGTTTCTGCTTTATCATCTTCATCACAAGGCTATCCAAGGCAGCTTCGCTGGGCA